ACCCAGTTTAATTTAGTGACCCAGTGACCCAGTTGACCCAGTGACCCAGTCCAACTCTGTTTGTATGAATCAATGTTAAGGACGCAATTTCCAAACGTCACCATCTTCATATCTTATAACACATATTTGTAAACTGCTTTGTGTTGTTTTTAGTTCTACACTGAAGGCTGCAGAGGCTGAAGCATGGCTAAACGAAGAATGCCAACTTTAGATCAAGCGAGGGGGGGGGGGGGGGGGGGGTATTGGTAAGATGAGATTCTGCTCAAATGTACTAAGGAAAACTGCGAAGCCTATGGAGTGGTGGAAATTGAATCTTCAAAACTACTATTGAGGCGCTTGAAAATCTGTCGAAAAATATATCTGAGAGGCAAACATTTTGATTAAGTGACAATGTGCTAAAGGAAAAAGGTAGGAGGATATTGCTTATTGGTTTAATGTGATTTAAACTTTTTTAGGAACAAATAGAAAACAAATTTAAAGATTTTACAACAGTTATTACAAGACCGTGAAAGATCCCTTTCAGAAGCTCTGACATACTTCAGTTTTGTAAGAGAATGTAGTGAAATGCAAGAATGGATGAACGACCAACAAGCGAAGGCAGCTTCAGAAGATTACGGAACAGATGTGGAACATGTCGAGTTACTCATACAAGCATTTGATACATTTTTAGCTAGTTTAAATAACAGCGAATTACGAGTACAAAATTGTATTGATAACGGAAACAAACTGATAGCCGCCGAAAATAAGCACAAAAGAAAAATTGAACAAAAAGTAACGGAAGTCAAAGATCAATGGGAAGACCTAATAGAACTGGCTCAAGCGAGACACGAAGCTCTCGCTGGTGCTAAACAAGTTCACATTTTCGACCGGACTGCAGACGAGACTATTGCCTGGATTATTGAAAAAGAGGCAAATTTGGTAATCGATACTTACGGGCAGGACTTGGAAAGCATACAGGCTTTAGTTCGTAAACACACAGGTTTCGAAACCGAACTGGTTGCCGTCAAGGAGCAAGTGAAAGCCATTGAACAAGAGGCACATCGTCTTAGTGAACTATTTCCAGATGCTGAAGAGCACATTGAAGTTAAACGAGAAGATACCTTAAACGCGTGGGAGGAGTTGCAAACCAAAGCCGAGCATCGAAGGGAGAATCTTCAGCAGTCTGAACAACTTCAGACATACTTCGATCAATATCAAGATTTGATGTGAGTATATAAGTGTATAGTCATCATCAGTTCCTGGCATCACAGGTCCTAGTCACGAACTTATAAATTAAGATGGACTGCTGATCAAACAGTTGCATAGAGGTAGAAATGGCCCTAGCATGGGCTTCGCCATGATGTGCACATTCTAGTTATTTTCTAGGGGAATTTTCCTAGTGCTCAAGTTTTGAGACTATTGCAGCTTTGGAAAATGACATGTGTCACAGTAATTTATTTAGAAAATGTGAGGTTAATGTTGGGGTAATGCTTGTTTATTAGTTGATCTGAATTTCGCGCCATGTGAGTGCACATCATGGCGGCCCCCATGTAGGTGTCATTTGTTAATTCAGCATTAGCAGTCCATCTTAATTTATAAGTTCGTGGTCCTAGTGCTCTTCCTCCACTCCACAGGTCCTTCCATCACGTTTCTTGGAAAACAGTTTTTTCTCAACACACAAAAGATTTTTCTTTTGTGAATTGGTGTCCATGATTTTATTTCTAGTACTTCCTCTTTCCTCATCCTGCCTTTCAAAACCTTTATTCATATCCACATTTCCAAAACTTCTATTCATTTTTCGTCCTCCATCATTCTGTCCATGCTTCACAACTATAGAGCATTACGGTCCAGACAAACCATTTTGCTAGTTCATTTCCTCGCCTTTTACATCCACTGTTTGCTGAATTTTTGCCCACAATATAGCTGGGGCATATGTGACCATGGGTCTGATGATAGTTTCGTACGGCCATTTAGTCATTAGGTGTTACGCCCCAGTTCCTGCCCAGTAGCCATCTACAGGCCTGGGATCCCAGGGTCGCCTTTTTTATCACCTTACCCATTTGGGAGTTCCACGTTAACTTCTGGTCAAAGTTCACTCCTAGGTATTTGACCTCTTTACAAAGATTGATGTTCGTGCCCCCCCTCCCCCCCCCCATACTAGGTGCCCTTATGTTGCGCTTCTTCCTTCTGGTAAAAGGTACCACCACACTTTTGAGCAGATTATCTGTAGACCACCTTTTGTGTGATGTTCAGATGTTTACTAGAGATTACTATATGGCCAGATCGTCTGCATACCTTTGCATATAATAACCTTTTTGTGTTAGTTGGTCATCACTGTGACTGACTCCACACCTAGCCTTGCCATTATCTTCCTGCTCTTCAACATGGATTTTATCCAGTCTATTCTTGTGGAGATTGGGCTTTTATTTCCAGCGGCCACTTTGATGCTTCATGCAAGGTGTTATCGAAAGCATCCTCTACATCCGCAAACCTGGTTAGAGCCACCTCTTTTGACATGAGCACCTTTTCAAGTTTGCATATTAAACTATGTAGGGCCGTGATTGTTGATTTTCCTTTTTGATGGGCGTGTTGTTGAGGGTGAAGCGGATGTTTTGTTAGAACTTCGTTTCTCAGGAAGCTTCAACGAGAAGGAGATGAGACTGTTAGATATGCCTTAGGCAAGTGGATTGAGCGTCCTGACCCTTTTGGTATGAACACCACATTTACCTCCTGCCCCGTTACCAGAAGCTGGCTCTGTAGTACATATAATTTGCAATATGTGCCCAACAACCTCCGCTAGGTGTCTTAAAGAGTTTGAAGGCCATTAGGGCCCATTCTACCTTCTCCTGTATGATGATTTTTGAGGCTTCGCTTTTAATCCTAATTTACAGGTCTGGGGTGGATCGCACCCCACAGCCACTTTCAATGTCCATAAGTTTTTTTTCTTTCAATATTTTGGCCTGGGAGCTCGAGTACCTTCCAAGTTTAGTCTTTTCTATCTGGGGTTCGTTCCACCCCACGCCCGTAAACTTGAAAGTTTTAGTGGCCAGTAAACTAGGGTTAATTTGGGTGGGTAGAATCCAAATCAATTCGTACTTTTTCGATCAGACTTCTCAATCAAAAGTTATAGACTAGAAACCAATTTCGAAAAAAAATTCAAAGGGCTGTAACCTTTGAACTAGTAGCCCAATCTTGGAACTGTTTGAAATTATGGATTCTACAGGCCACATTCTATAAGAAAATTTTTTTTCCGAGTCGATCTGAGACAATTTTTTTTTCGGGGCTCAAAAAAAGGCAGTGTATAACCTTCCTTTTTTACCAAAAATCGACTACACAAAAATTTCTCGGGAAAACACTTTTTCTTATTAATTTTGGTGCGTAGAATCCAAAACAATTCGTACTTTTTCGATCGGATTTCTCAATCAAAAGTTATGGACTAGAAACCAATTTCGAAAGAAAATTCAAAGGGCTGTAACTTTTGAACTAGCAGCCCAATTTTGGAACTGTTTGAAATTATGGATTCTACAGGCCACATTCTATAAGAAAATTTTTTTTCCGGGTCGATCTGAGACAATTTTTTTTTCGGGGCTCAAAAAAAGGCAGTGTATAATAACCTTCCTTTTTTACCAAAAATCGACTGCACCAAAATTTCTCGGGAAAACACTTTTTCTTATTAATTTTGGTGCGTAGAATCCAAAACAATTCGTACTTTTTCGATAAGACTTCTCAATCAAAAGTTATAGACTAGAAACCAATTTCGAAAGAAAATTCAAAGGGCTGTAACTTTTGAACTAGTAGCCAAATCTTGGAACTGTTTGAAATTATGGATTCTACAGGCCACATTCTATAAGAAAAATTTTTTTCCGGGTCGATCTGAGACAATTTTTTTTTCAGGGCTCAAAAAAAGGCAGTGTATAACCTTCCTTTTTTACCAAAAATCGACTACACCAAAATTTCTCGGGAAAACACTTTCTTATTAAATTTGGTGCGTAGAATCCAAAACAATTCGTACTTTTTCGATCAGACTTCTCAATCAAAAGTTATAGACTAGAAACCAATTTCGAAAGAAAATTCAAAGGGCTGTAACTTTTGAACTAGTGGCCCAATCTTGGAACTGTTTGAAATTATGGATTCTACAGGCCACATTCTATAAGAAAATTTTTTTCCGGGTCGATCTGAGACAATTTTTTTTTCAGGGCTCAAAAAAAGGCAGTGTATAACCTTCCTTTTTTACCAAAAATCGACTGCACCAAAATTTCTCGGGAAAACACTTTTTCTTATTAATTTTGGTGCGTAGAATCCAAAACAATTCGTACTTTTTCGATCAGACTTCTCAATCAAAAGTTATAGACTAGAAACCAATTTCGAAAAAAAATTCAAAGGGCTCTAACTTTTGAACTAGTAGCCCAATCTTGGAACTGTTTGAAATTATGGATTCTACAGGCCACATTCTATAAGAAAATTTTTTTTCCGGGTCGATCTGAGACAATTTTTTTTTCGGGGCTCAAAAAAAGGCAGTGTATAACCTTCCTTTTTTACCAAAAATCGACTACACCAAAATTTCTCGGGAAAACACTTTTTCTTATTAATTTGGGTGCGTAGAATCCAAATCAATTCGTACTTTTTCGATCAGACTTCTTAATCAAAAGTTATAGACTAGAAACCAATTTCGAAAAAAAATTCAAAGGGCTGTAACTTTTGAACTAGTAGCCCAATCTTGGAACTGTTTGAAATTATGGATTCTACAGGCCACATTCTATAAGAAAATTTTTTTTCCGGGTCGATCTGAGACATTTTTTTTTCGGGCCTCAAAAAAAGGCAGTGTATAACCTTCCTTTTTTACCAAAAATCGACTACACCAAAATTTCTCGGGAAAACACTTTTTTCTTTTTAATTTTGGTGTGTAGAATCCAAAACAATTTGTACTTTTTCGATGAGACTTCTCAATCAAAAGTTATAAACTAGAAACCATTTTCGAAAGAAAATTCAAAGGGCTGTAACTTTTGAACTAGTAGCCCAATCTTGGAACTGTTTGAAATTATGGATTCTACAGGCCACATTCTATAAGACATTTTTTTTCCGGGTCGATCTTGAGACAATTTTTTTCTCGGGGCTCAAAAAAAGGCAGTGTATAACCTTCCTTTTTTACCAAAAATCGACTGCACCAAAATTTCTCGGGAGAACACTTTTTCTTATTAATTTTGGTGCGTAGAATCCAAAACAATTCGTACTTTTTCGATCAGACTTCTCAATCAAAAGTTATAGACTAGGAACCAATTTGAAAAAAAATTCAAAGGGCTGTAACTTTTGAACTAGTAGCCCAATCTTGGAACTGTTTGAAATTATGGATTCTACAGGCCACACTCTATAAGAAAATTTTTTTCCCGGGCCAATCTGAGACAATTTTCTTTTTCGGGGCTCAAAAAAGGCAGTGTATAACCTTCCTTTTTTACCAAAAATCGACTACACCAAAATTTCTCGGGAAAACACTTTTTCTTATTAATTTGGGTGCGTAGAATCCAAATCAATTCGTACTTTTTCGATCAGACTTCTCAATCAAAAGTTATAGACTAGAAACCAATTTCGAAAAAAAATTCAAAGGGCTGTAACTTTTGAACTAGTAGCCCAATCTTGGAACTGTTTGAAATTATGGATTGTACAGGCCACATTCTATAAGAAAATTTTTTGTCCGGGTCGATCTGAGACAATTTTTTTTTCAGGGCTCAAAAAAAGGCAGTGTATAACCTTCCTTTTTTACCAAAAATCGACTACACCAAAATTTCTCGGGAAAACACTTTTTCTTATTAATTTGGGTGCGTAGAATCCAAATCAATTCGTACTTTTTCGATCAGACTTCTCAATCAAAAGTTATAGACTAGAAACCAATTTCGAAAAAAAATTCAAAGGGCTCTAACTTTTGAACTAGTAGCCCAATCTTGGAACTGTTTGAAATTATGGATTCTACAGGCCACATTCTATAAGAATGGTGCCTTTATCTTGAATCTTACATGCTTATGGCCCGAGAGTGAAGTCTCGTCTGATACATCAGTTAGCAATTCACCCCCTCTTCTTTATGTGTATGCTGTTCCATTCTACATGGTGCGCGTTGGTCCTCAAACATTTTTAATTCCGTTTTCAGTATAAAATCTGCTTGCATCTCCACAATTCACCTCCCCCTACCCTTCCCATCTAGCTCCACTTATACCAATTACATTGAAATCATTCTTGATCTTGAGCTTTTCCTCTTATGTTCTCGCCCTTCATTTTTTTGAGCATACTTTCTTCCCACACTGTTGGCTCCTCTGCCTTTGGGGCTAATTTTTCATCATAGCTAATAGGGCACCCCTCCCTCTACCCGCTCATTCGCCTTCCAAGGGGGTCGTTGGTACTTGTTAGATGATTGACTTTGTAATGTGGAAGTCAATCAGTTTCCATTTCCTACTCAGTTAGAAATAGAGTGGGGTTTTGACAAGTGTATTTCAATTAATGGCAGCATGTTTTCCTTTTAGGGCGTGGATAAACGAAATGTTAGCCAAAGTTACAGCCCCCGATCTACCTCAAGATGTATCAGCAGCAGAAGTGTTAATAGAACATCACAAAGAGCATAAAGTCGAAATTGACGCAAGAGGCGATATAATTAAAGACTTCTATCAAACCGGGCACCGATTAATACAAGACCAGCATTTTCTGTCGCAGGAAATTCAAGATCGTATCGATGTGTTACGTCATCGGATGGATCACTTAAATCATATTTGGCACCAGCGGGCGATTATTTACGATCATAATTTGGATGTGCAGCTGTTTAAGCACGAGGCCAACTTACTAGAGAACTGGATGATCGTGCGCGAAGGTCCTCTACGTGAGTCACAATACGGCGATAGTATTTTGCAAGTAGAGGAACTGATAAGGAAGCACGAAGATTTTGATAAAACCGTTGAGGCGCAAGAAGAGAAATTCATCGCGCTAAAACGGATTACGCTAATCGAAGAGGCGTTTGCCAGGCAGCTGGAGGAGGAAGCGAGAGAGAAGCAACTGGAACGACAACGACAAGAACAGGAACGATTATCTCAACGTAAACGCATGGAAGTCCAACGTATCACTGAGCAAAGACGGTTAGAAGAGCAAAAAGAACGTCTACCTTCCTCAGTTCCAGAGGAGCGAATGAATGGAACTTCTCACGTTGAGGATAACAATAACGCCGCCACGCCGACTTCCTCCTTAACCAAATCGAATTCAGTGGCGCATATGTTTGGGGATAGAATTCGCAAAAATTCCGACGGTATCGTTAAAAGAGCAGAAAGTATGAAGGTGTCTACTATTACTAAGCCAGTCAAGAAGACGCCATCATTTACAACGCGAAGAAGAGCCGGGTCATTCAGAAATAAAGCGGCTATTTCAGAGAACGAATTACCGCCTGTTGAAGCTCAAGCATTCTTGGAGCGCAAACAAGTGCTATCGGCCGGAGGACGGCGTGCACAGAATAGAACGTGGAGAAATTATTACACTGTATTGTGTGGGCAACTGTTGTGCTTCTTCAAAAATAAAGACGACTTTGTTATTAGCAAAGCCATCGCCTCTCCTTTAGGGATTTATAATGCAGTTTGTGCTATTGCGGATGATTATTATAAGCGCAAGTTCACATTTAGACTAAATAGTTCAGATGGAGCCGAATTTTTATTCTCGTGCAATTCAGAGACTGAAATGTTAGACTGGGTACATAAAATTTCATTCCGTGCAAAGTTACCTCCCAGTCAGCAGCTGATTAACCTCGAAGTTCACAAGGTTAGTGCTTTCGTTTATATTATCGATAATAAAATGTTAACCACAGGATTATCATGAGATGGACGTTAGCTCACAGTCAAGTAGAACATCTAGTCCCGACATTAGTGATACAGTGGTAATGAGACATGATCCACAGTTTCAAAATGGCGCATCGCAACATCAGCCACCATGGCGGCACACACTTACAGGTATAGACATTGTTTAAATATGATAGTATTATGCTCATGTAAAACAGGTAAGCAAACATTTAATTTTACTAATTTTATATTAATTCGTGCTAAAATTATGATAACATGTTACTGACAAGAACCATAATGCAAAGAAATGTTAAGCGTCTTTATTGTGTGACAAACCATATGATCATTTAGTTTTCTTTCCGTTCCAACTAAAACCATCACCATAACTGTCTTATTATTGGAGGTAGGAATTAGCAAAAAATATGAGCATTACTCAGTAGCTGAAGAATAAAGTGGTCAAATCAGGAAAACAATTGAGCATCAGATTTAGGTATTCAACAAAAGAACATTTTGCTTGTAAAAACTACAACTGCAAACAAAAGAATGGCAGCCAAAATGTCAATAAGTACAAAAAAAAACTGACTGTTATTAATTATTTGAGAGCGGTTATGTATTTCTGCAAGATACATCTGAATTAACTACGTTTACATAGTATCGCAATCAATAGAACAGAATAAGTGTGTAGGAAACCCTTTGTATGGTACTGCACGGATCCTCTCCAATCCTCAACAGCATACCAACCACAGTGCAGCTCTGTTCCTATAATTACCTACTTACTTATTCTGTTCTATCGAATGCATCAGCTACTATGTAAACATACATAATTCAGATGTAATACATCTGTAATACACCAATAACGTGGGCGCAATTTCCAAAAATCTTCCTTTAAACATACAAGGTGGTCCATTTAAAAAATGTTGAATATCTTGATTACCTGCTAATTACTAAATTGTTTTTTGGTATGACCATTGTGGTGCTGACTGAAAAATGGCATGTGGTAGTTTAACTGAATTTGTAGCTCCAACAATAACAGTCTCCAATGGGATATTAAAAAATGGCGAACTTTGCGCGCAAATGGAAATTTCCATGGTCTACTAGAGTTCTTTCTATCACCCTTTCTCCTTGATATTCTTGTAAATGACAATCCCTGCACAAAATGGTCTGCAGTTTTTAGAACAATAGTGAGTTCACTTGTAATTTTTCTGTTCCTAACTGGTTAAAATGATTAATGTGTTAAAGATTTCTATGTTTAGTAAGTTTGTGACAGTCCTTCCTTTTTCAGTAATTAGAGCGCTTATGTTTGTACACATGGAGCGTGTGTTTCTTTAGCATTATGGTAAATTTTTGTGGTTGTACAAATTACTTAATTTAATATTAACCGTGTGCTAAAACGTCCAATACAATTTGGTTCTTTAACATTTACTAATTTAGGAGAAAATCCACCACCGTTACCTATGAGCGAGCCACCAAATAACTCTCACCCCGTACGTCGTCATCACACGCTAGAAACTAGTGGAAACCTTCATGGTTAGTTATACAGCAGCATGTTTGTCTTACCGTTTCATTTTCCAGTCTGTATACGTCACTCGCTTTAGCTTACCTTTCTTCTTTTTGCTTCTGGATGTTAGTTTTGCATTCTTAACAATACAGTGTGTGTTTCATAGGACATTACGGAGAATCGAGCAGTAATAAATCGGAATGGGCTACGCCGACCAGGCCGAGTTCAACTATACAACCTAATGATCATAAAAAATCGTCTCGGATCATGGACCTCTTTAGAAAAAAACGTCATTCACAAATATAAGTTAATATTGTAAAGTATATTGTTATAGTTTTTCTTAGTTTATAAGAACCGAAAGTATTGAGGCATCTACTTTAATGAGAGTACCTAAGTAAATATATATTTGTAAATATATGTAATATGGATAAATTAAATATTATCAAATTCTGTTACATAAAAGATACACACGTTTTCTAATGTATACTTATTGTTTTCCAATTAATATAATCTATATAACTTATGGTAAATTGTTGCCCACCATTATTATCTCGTAATTGTTTTTATTTAACATAACTGTCGACCAATTGCAAATATACACAATCAAAATAAAGAACGGAACCGTTAGCAAGCCGCTGGTTTTGAAATCGTCGCTAATTAGGTACCATTAGAAAACGAAAAAAATTTGACAATCTAATTTCTTTTTCTTGATTTAAAGCATCCTTAAAAACTATTCTCCCATTGAAATATTACTATGGACATTAAGTAGGTAATATCAAAGAGTAATATACTCTTTGGTAATATATAGAGCATAAATTTTAACTTCAATCTCTCTCATTAAAAATTCCTATGCTCAATTCTAAAATATACATGTCAATCTTAGACCATATAGTACATGGACTGCTATTCGCCCTATGCTTTCAATACAAAATGGATGGTCACGAATAGAGGGCACTGTAGTCGTGGGTATGTGAATCTCAGGGTAAACTAAAGTCGTGTAAACACCACTAGGATCGCTTAAAGAGCAGCTTTATAGTAACCGCGTAGTACGGGAAGCTTTAAATACTCTTCATTATTTACTATACGTCCTCAAATAAGAATAAGTCTGCTTTTTTTGGGATATCTAGGCGATTAATTAATTGACGTTTGTTAATTTATAGGTTGACAGTCTCAAATCGTGTCTAATCGGACAACTTCGGACAGACTCGTTTACCCTGAAATTCACATACCCAGGCGATGTCCTTGACCATATTTTAGTTACAATTAGCAGTCCATGTACTATATGGTCTAAGATGTCAATACATTGATATGTCTGACAGTTATGTAACCCAATTTACACACTAGATACGTATTCGCCCGATTTATTTGTTGCATATCATAAAGGGAATTTGACGTGTATAGTTTAAAATTGAACATAGTTTTATATGCAGGAGATTTGTAATGTTCAAACAAAGAGTACTCTTTGGTTCAAATATAGTAAAAACAACAATAAATAATTTATTTTCCTATTTGACTATCGATTTTAACATTTTTATCATGGCTTATCATTATTTTTACTATATGTTTGCAGATTTAATTAATGTGTAATAGAAACAACCTACAAATCACTATTGACAGTAACACATTTAGATAGTCAAAAAAGAAAATGACTTATTTGTTGTTTTTACTATGCTTACCGACTCCACAACAACAAAAAATGGAGAAATTCATTTTTGTGTAGTTGGAGGCCATTGACGTTCCACAATGCAATTTTGATAAACTGACATCTTGTGCATTGTATAAGTTCTTTTTCTTTACTGATTGGCTCTATGGTTATTTGCTGCCGAGTCGTTCGATGTTATATACCTATGTCTTTGTTTTTATCGGAGGGTTCTAAGTCTACTAAGAATGGGTTAGAGGTTGCTTTGTTTTTCTACTTCTGCCGTTTATTATATTATATGTATCTTATGCCCTTCTTGTGCAAGTTCATCCACTACTTCTTAAGTATTGGTTTTGTGATGTAAGTGTTTTATTGCTATTCTGAACAACCGTTCTTCTTTTGGTTGGTAGGTGATATGCAGTGGTCGAAGTGGCAAATATTTTTTACCGGTATGGCTGAACTGATAAAATCTTAGTATTGTATGTATGCGTATATTATCATGAAAAAACTTTATCCGTTATGCCTATGTGGATAAATTTATTACCGGTATGTTTCACAAAAACCAAAAATCTATCGGTATGCCATACCGCCGCATACCGCCTCACTTCGACCACTGGTGATATGTGATGGGATGTTACAGTTTATTTTTATTGTGTTAGTCTAGTGGAGTACTGTTCTTCATTAAGTATTTCTGCTTATTTATTGATCATGTCTACAGTCTACACAATTTATGACTCCGTATATGATGATTAGAGGTGGTTTTCGGTTTGCTTGTGTTTGTTTTAGTATTGTCTTTGTCTTTTGCTAAGACGCTAAATTTACTTCCGACTGTGAGTTGCCTTATTTACTTAAGTATATTATTGTGATTTAATATAATATGTTTATGCTTTATTGTGTTGTTAGTATTAGCATGTAGTAGTTTAGAAATGGCCATCCGTGTAATTTTGCGAGTTATTTTATTACTTACCTACATTATCTTAATCTACTGTTAGTTATTCGGATTCCTACGCGCCTAATGGTTTAATCCAAACAGAGTGTTCCAGTTGCTCTTTTCTGTCAGTTTTCTAAACGAGGCCGATATACCTAAGTACATTTCTAGTGAATTTTATCATGTGTAAGTACCTACCTAGTTTGGATGCTGGATGTATGTGGAGATTTTCTGAACTTGAACATCTTGGATTTATTTCTATACAAAATACAAGATGGCCGACCACTTGAATAATAAGGATCTCTTATATATGTCTTCAAAGGGATTTTCTCAAGACGGTAGACACATGTTTGGTTGGCATACTTCAATGAGTCTGATTCTGTTCTTATATTTGTGGTTTTTTGGGATAGATTGCCTACTGTCTTCCAGTGTCCTTTTTCCTTTCCTATTTGCATATTACAGTTTCCCAGTAAAATTTGAATATGTTCTTTTGTACCAACATTTTTGTTTTTTTTATTCTAAGTTACTTGGTACATTTACAGTTGATTATATTTTTATGTACATACCACAAGTGCCATGGGTGCCTAAAAGTGGTGCACCCTTTCCAACTATAATTTAGGTATCTGTTGTACTCTTGAAGATCCAATAATATACGAGGTGTGGCAATTAAATTCCGATAATTTCTAAATAAAATACAGGCAAATTAAGTGAGCAACAAAACTTTATTAAAGCCCTTCACAGTAGTCCATTCCTAACTCAGAATAGCTTTCCAACGTTTCTCCCATGATTGGAAGCACCCTTGATAATCCTCCAAAGTTAGGCCTTTCAAGAAGACGGTCGCAGCCTCCTGGACGGCCTCTACACTGCCATGGTGGGTTCCTTTGAGGTGACTCTTCATTTTAGGGAACAAGAAGAAGTCACAGGGGACCAAGTCAGGGCTGTAGCCAGGGTGGATGCGGTAACGTTGGGAGTTTTTTTGGCCAAATATTCGCATTTGTTTTTGTTGGATTGTGAGAATTTTGGCCACCATTTTCGCGCACAGCTTCCGCATGCCTAAATCTTAATGTAACATCTGCCGAATTGTTTCTTTATTTATATTTAACTCGTATGATAACGCACGAAGGGTTAGGCGACGATCAGACAGGACTAGCTTGCGAAGACGGTCGACATTTGCGTCTGTGCATGTGAGAATTGGCGCCCGTGGCCGTGGGTCGTCAGCCAACGATTCACGACCATTTTTTATCCGTTTTGCCCATTCAAAACACGTGGTTGTGACAGACACTCGTCTCCATACACCTGCTGTTATTTTCGTAGGATTTCTGTAGGTTTTTCACCAGTTTTGACCAAAAATTGGATTACAGCACATTGCTTAAAAATTAAGTCGGTCATTACTGCAACCGAGTTAAAAAACTTGTCTTCGAAGAACACCCTTAAAAAATGAAGTACACAGCCGATCAACTTGAAATCTTCAGTACGACTGAGCGGGTGAATTGCTCAGACCATATAGTACATGGACTTGCTATTATCCCTATGCTTTGAATGCAAAATGGGTGGTCACGGATAGAGGGCACTGTAGTCGTGGGTATGTGAATCTCAGGGTAAACTAAAGTTGTGTAAACACCACTCGGATTACGTAAAGAGTAGCTTTTATAGTAACCGCGTAGTACGGGAAGCTTTAAATACTCTTGACTATCTTCTATACGTCCACAAATAAAAATAGGTTTGGCATATCTAAACGATATTAATTAATTGACGTTTGTTAATTTATAGGTTGAGTCTCAGATCGTGCCTAATCGGAAAACTTCGGACAGACTCGTTTACCCTGAAACTCACATACCCAGACGATGTCCTTGACCATATTTTAGTTACAATTAGCAGTCCATGTACTATATCGTCTAAGGTGAATCAAAGATCATACTACTTTGGGTGAATTGATCTAGCCAGGCGCCGGTCATGCAGTGTTGCCAGTTAGCACATCAAAGCAAAATTCTCGGAATTTACTTGCCACACCTCGTGTGTTTCCAGTCATTTGTGTCTTTGTCAGTAATTTAAACATGATTGTTGGAGGGCTAGTATCCGAATTTGTTGTCTGTCTAACTCTGTTACTAGATTGTGTAGTTCAGGGTTGAATGAGAGCTTTTGTAATATACAAGTAAACTAAGACTAAATATGACAGTTGGACGGCAAATTATATACCTACAGCAATTAAACTTTGCCTACAACTTTACCTTGGCACTATAGCGCGTTCGCACCTTCAAATTCAGTATGGTGCTTATAGACATACAGTACATGCTTGCCAACCGTGACAATGACAGCACAAGAAGATTGTTTTGTTTTAATACTTCAATTTAATCATATGTCAATTTGACATCAATGCGGTCAGAAACAAGGATAGTATTATCAAAGAATGACGCAAACTAGTAAGAGAGGCAATTAGTCCATAAGACCCCATACTGCATGTGGAGGTGCGAACGCGCTATAGAAATCAGGTTTTGTCCAGTCCTACCGAAATTTAGAGGTCCTACTCCCTTCGGGGGGTAATGAGTAGGGGGTAAATTTTAAAACGTGCACATTTTACAAACTAGGCAAGTGAAGTGCCATTTTCCGTGTAATTTTTTCCGCTGAAGCCAATGAGACCATACTTATAGGATCAATATTTTGCGAGATATGAATGGAATAATATTATAATTGTTGCTTCGAATATTGTTTTCAGATAGGTAATTATGTGATATGTCCATTAGAAGATGCAAAATTGCGTGTGCACTAGATATCCATCAGCTATTTTGAGCTCAAATAATAGAAAAGCGCTATTTGTAACAATATTCTTTTAGAATTGCTTTATTATGAATAACATTTGAAGTTATTGCCCAATATACATATAATTATAATTTCAGTACTTTGCGACTGTATACAGTCTATAACCATGATAATAGAAAAGTAAAAAACTTAATTAACAAAATTTAGTCTTCATAAATCTTCACAAAAAACTCTCCTGTTCATCTGCAACAAATAGTTGTAATATTCATGATGCAATGCAACAGCTTAGTTACTTGTGAAGGAAGCGTAATGCGATCTTCGCAGCTGCTTTTTTTGCTAGTCCTTTATTCTCTCCAACTCCGTGGACAATTTTTTTAGCACCATTTATCATAAATTCCAACTTCATTAGAGTACGACCATCGTCAAGATTCATAGATGCTCTGTAAAATTTTTGTATAACTGAGTAAAATTGAATCTGGGAATGGAAAAAGGTTCTATTGCATATTATCAAAGAGTACCCATAACAGAAACAGATAGCAGCAGTTCCATTTCATACACTCGGTTCAACCAATGCAAGTAATTCATTAAAAAAAAATTGTACCCAAACTCTGGATGAGCCCCGACAGTTTCATGGATCATCCTAATCGGGTTTTTCGGAACATTTATTGAGAATAGCTCAATTTCTTTCCACATAATACGATGTACGATTTTCCATACAGTTTCGAGGCACATTCCGCTATCTAAAAATACAGCTCCAATTAAAGCTTCAAACGCATCTCCTAGAACCTAGAACGCGCATGTATTATTTTAGAATAATTACAATACACACAATACTTTGGGAACATCAATGTGATCTCCTAAGTGTAGATCATCTTCGTCTATCAAGGTTAAAACCTCCTCGTTGATTGTGTGATTATTTGACTCTTGATGCTCCACGAAAGTGTTTATGTATTTTAACAATTGATTATTAGAAAATTGCAAATGTTTCTGAAATCCACATCTGACTGTAAAACTCGCGAACGTCACATTATTAACTAAAGCAGAACGCAAGTCAGTTAGATCGCCCGGACTTAAATCTCCACAAGCTTCATATATGTGGCAGGTTATCAAGAAGTCTAATACGGCATCTCCCAGAAACTCTAACGTTTGATAGCAATTCGTAATGCGATTTGAGGTGTAAGAAGAATGCGTCAAGGCTTGAAGTAAGTACGCGCGATTTTGAAATTTGTACTGTAACTTTTCTTCTACTTTTTTCCAAGTCGGAATATGATGATTGATATTACTTTCTGTGGCATTTTTATTAAGAATTGGATTTGGCGGCGTCATTTGGAATAAGTTTTCAATATTCTCCGACTGCGGAATAATTTCTAACCACTTTAATAGAGTTAATCCACCTTTAAACCCAAACGTTTGAAAATACACTCCCAAAAGTGCCTCGACACAATCGGCAATCGATTTATCCTTAACAGTTTGTTTGTCTAAAAATCCATTGATAGAATCATACGCTACTTCTTCATCATCTGCATCTATATCATCATTCATTGCAATAATCTCATCTCCCGATGAGCTGCTTAAGATACCGCTAATTTGTTCCTCGGTTGTAAAATTGACTTGAAAAAGCGAGTTAATGGATACTGTCTGATTAAGCCTATCTTTTAAGACTTTTGGAATGGTAAATGAAGGCGGTTTCCATTCGAACTTTGGAGTAAAGTCGGATACTTTCATGTATCCACCGATGTCCTTTTTACTTCCAATGTAAAACAAATTTTTGTTACTAATCAATTTCCCCTTGAGACTTGTTAAAACTCCTTCATTATATGTTGGGTATTTCAGTACCAGAAATAGAGAAATACTAAGTTTTAAAAATGAGTCGCCCAAGGTTTCTAACCGTTCCAAATTAACGATATCATTGTTTTTTGCTGTGGCTAACGCGGTAAATATGTCGACTAACTCAGGACCTCTTACGTTTTCTTTGGATTTTAAAAATTTTATTTCCTTGTAAACGTACTCTTTGTCAAATTTTATCGCTGGGAGGGTGCTTTTACTAGCTAAGTTGTTTGTCTGTATGTGATAATCTGTAGATAAAGTATGTGACATAAATTGGTCAAAGTATTGTATGTCCATTAATGTTACGTTATGGTAACGTTCTAAATCTATAGGTTCATCTAATGCATCCCAAGGGTACTCGGCGTGCAGCTTTTTTTCAGCGAAATCTTGTACAAGTTCTATCATGGGAATTTCAAAATCATTCTTCACCATTTCATCTTGAGGTGTTTCCGATCTTTTTGATTGATTGTCCTCCTCAGCTTCTTCTATTAGTGTGTGCTCATCCGACACTAGAGGAGCCCATTTTTCACCTTCCGCTATTTCCCGTGTACCTAATCCGGTCTCCTTGGCGATTGTAAGTCGAAGTTCATCTGCTTGCAATAGTGAGAGAATTCTGTTGAGAATTGTTGGGATTAGCCTTGCTTGCAGCCACAGATCGGCGGGGAAGTCTTGTTTTACACAGAGCTCGGGAATGAGATGTTCGTCGAGATCTTCGTAAATCTTCTCCCTTTTTTTCTTGTTGCACAGTTGACGAGGTTTAATGCAATTTAACCTTTTGGATAAACCCTTCACTAAAAGCAGGGGTTGCTCTCCGTTGAGTAAGTTCTGGTGGTACTTTGCATTGAAGTAATCGGCGTATGTGGTAAATTCCTCTGATGGGAAGGCACTGTAGGCATTTAGTTCCTCACAAACTCGAATCACCAGATATTGCTGAAACAAAGTATTTTTTTTATAAGCAATAGAGTGATCAGCGATAGAGAAATTTTCAGTGGGAAGGGAGAAATTTCTCATACCCCAAACTTATAACAGATATTATTTATCACTTACAATTTATAACATAACACAAACGCATCGAAGTTGTAACTGAACTGAAATACGCTACAAATTTGCTTATATAGTAAATGACAATTATTGTTCCAGAATGTTGTTAGAATGCTTCGGAATGTTTTAGAATAAACACGTCATTTTTCCCAGAAGGATTGCTTCACATTCGCCTTCGCTCTTTTCGCCGTACTAATTTTACATAGCGCCTCGATGGAATATTCGCTACAATAATAACAAAGAGGGAGTCTTTTTTTCACCAAAATTATAGCTAACACCTGTGGGAATACCAAAATGAAGAATTTTTATCAGTGTCTGCGTAAGTGCATGTCAAACTTCTTATTCAGATATTTCGGAAACTTTTAACTATAGATTCTAGGAGAGGGGAGACTGATAGAACTAACCAAGAGAAATAAATCATTATTTTTTACCTCTCGCATCAAATTTCCGCATACCGCTAAACCGCGTGTCGATTCGCATAAATTAACCCTTTGTTGATGGGGTTCCAGTAAACGTCAACGACCGGTACTACTTACTTTGACATGTGGAATAACATGCATATGTCTATATACACCACCAATAAATATATAATAATATAATAGTAAATAATAATAATAATAATAATAAAATCGGGAAGTGGCTATTGGAGCGCCATATTTTTCATCGCTTATATTGTTTTATGCGACAAACTAATACGTATAATTAACAATAATTTTAAGCTCATGAAGTACGCTTTTTGTCGTCGATTGGAGCGGTTTGCGAACCTAATTCACTAACGGAATTTTTCCACGCGCCCGCTACATAGAAGTGGTGGTTGCTCTGATTAACAAAGAATTATCTAGCATTTCTGATTTTTTGAAGTTGTAATTTTTTTTACATGGTTCTTTAATCTTGAGTGAATTGTTTTGCTGTCACTCACCCTGATTTAAATTTTCTACTTTACTTATCATAAACAGATTTCACTGTTGATCACTAAATGTATTATTATTACTTGCTAAACCTACCTGATCATCAGCACGATACCAAGGTGTTACGATGCTACGACGGTAATTATCATCACAGACATCCAAGCAGAGTTTTTCTTCATCCGTCAGCGGAGTTTTTTGATCAATCAATTCCTTATTATTAATAGCAGTTTCCATATCGATCTCAACGTGTGTTGCATACCTCTTAACGGGAACAAGAAGCAACCCATCGTTATCGCCGTCATTACCCAATACTAGGTATGATTTTAAGATCCGTAAAAGGTCTCTAAATATTAAACAATGAAAGCCCTTCAGATGCAAAATCTCTTCCTCCGTTAAACAAACTTCTCTATAATTTACATTAAGATTAACTAACACCTCTCCGGCTGTAACATGAACGGAAAACTGACAGAGTCTTGGCAATTTTTGCATGGAGAGAAGACCGTAACACAACTGCGATTTGTACAACTCACTTAGCATCTCTATCCCTAAATTACTATTACTGGAGAATAGCGGTTGTAATTCAATTACATGTAAGTATACTGTTTTTTTTGGTACTATTAACCCTTTGCAAACTGTAGGAATCTGAAACAAAGGTAAAGATGAGGGTGTCAAGTGAATCAATCGATATTACCTTTTTGTCATGTACCCTCTGCTTTTTGGTACCCCCTGCATTTTTCTCCTTTTCTGTTGGCCAATGAGTGAAGTAATGATCGAAATCTTTTTCTATTACAATGGATCTTCTAGGGAGGAGTTTGTTATCCAATTCCCCCAATCGATGTAAAAACTTACAAGTTTCTAGCGCCGCTGCTCTTTTGGCAAACTTTTTCGTTTCCATAAAAGGTCCCTGTACATTAAAATCATAAGAAACTAACTCGAATCAAATTCATTTAAATTTACTTGAATTAATTGAAGAATACCACTAACAGGTGGAAGTTCTATAGTGACTCGATACCTTCTCGTTTCTGGACATATCTCTATAAACCATCCTGGAACATAAGTGGTGTATTTATCTGCCGGAAGACACGAACAATAGAAACATAAAAGTGGGATAGCTGTCAATAAATCAATTTTTGACGAATCGGGACCGTCAACGTAGTAAGGAGGAATTAAGTCATCACATTCTTTTGCATCAATTTCATCTTTTCGTTCTTCATTTTTTCCCACAAGATGCTAAAATTTGTTATTTTAACTTTTTCCCACCCACATCGAGAAAATAGTCAATTACCTACCAAATTTAATACACGTTCTATTTCTTTCATAATTTGATATTTCTGCATAAAAGCGCCATGGTCCTCTTGACTCACTAACATGTAATAGAAACTATCTGTATGTCGTGCTCGTCCTTTGGATTGTATATAACCTCGATAATTATGGATGTCACTGAAGTGTACGACTAAAGTGCACGTGGGAATATCAACTCCCTCTTCTAATACATTTGAAGAAACCAATAAATTAATTTTCTTCATTCTAAAATCGTTTAATACCATCTTGTTCATTTTGGTTTTGTAGCAGTCTTCACGTGTCTCATTGTAGGGATTACTATTGAAACCGACAATATAATTTGGATTAATGAACGAAAAAGTGGGATCCAGCTCCTTAAGCTCTTTCAGTACATTATAAATAACTTTTGCAGTAAAACGTCGTTGGACGAATATTATACCACATAACGACACTTTGGCATTACTTTTATATTCCTTCAGAATGTTGAACAGCTTGTTGACTTGTGGTGACGAATACCGATAAATACGTTCCAATTTATTTAATGATGCCATAGCATTATCATATATCTTTTGTATAATTTCAAAAGTAGTTATAACTGCATCAATTACCGCTTCTACTTTGTCATCTTGACAATTTTTCTTAATTCGTTCTAATTGAATCATATGCGCAGTTGTGGCAATTTTAGAACAATACCCTCCATAGTTTTCTATATGATAGATAATATCATAAATTAAACGAATAATTGGTTTGCAATGCTTATCAGTATTAAGTGGTCTTAAATAGGGTTTCGGAGGTGCAACTAAAGTGGTATCTAGTTTCACTTCTTCTAATATTCTTATAAGCTGATTTAACTCATCCAATGCTAAACTATCGGCTGTAGAGCAAGTATAGGGTGAATATACGCTTATTCGTTCTAATGGATTAGTCGCATATCTGTAATAAATTAATTTATAGAAATTATCATTTACTGGAAAATTCAATGTTACTGAAGTTGATTTTGGAGTTTTTTTTTCGTTTTTTGAGTTTATTCTAATAGGGACTATTTTTTATTTCATCAAAAAGTATAGTTAAAAACAAAGAATGTGACGCCAAATATAACTCTCTACGATAAATCTCTGAAGGGCAATTTCATTTGAAAAAAAAAGTTTCTTAAAAGATTTTATCTAGAATTGAACATTTAGGAGATATACAGGGTGTTACTTATAAGTATGTAAAGAAATTGGCTGTGGCTAACACAGACGGACCGACAGACATCATTGAGATTTTGTTTCATTCGAATTCTTGGTACTTCACTATGTATATTTCTGTAAACACTTTTTACCCCAATGGAATACCTCCCTTACTAACGGGCGGGTGGTAAAAAATTGGGTGGGACAAGGGGTCAAGACAAGCAAATAAACCGAGGAGCAAACGTGTTTCATTTGGGAACCACCCTCAAAAAAGTGGTGAAATTTTCATTTCTTCTTTAATTTTTTTCTCAGCAACCATTAAGAGTTAGAAAGACGAAGTTAGCACGTCCTTGAATAGGGATATGGGGTATGTTCTTTCCGATTTTGCAAACATTTTTTCAAAATTCCTACCACAAGAGGTTCACCCCTAAATGGAGGTGCCAAAAAAAAATTTCGACAGATAATATCTTGTAGAGTTCAAATAACATCAATAAAAACGAAATCGACAAATCTCGGTTTTTCTGGCATATCTTCTCGGGAGTACACATAATCGGTACCTTGGAACCCGGTTTTCTTTGAAGCATCCTAATAACTCTTTAATTACGCATCTTTTCTCTTAATGTGACCACATCCTTATCTTGAACACAGTGCATATGAATACCATGCCCTGCAGGCCTGATTGGCATTTTATTTTGTTTGATATTTTTATTTTTTAACTGAATTTTTTGAGGATATCCGAAAAAATGTTACTTAAAAAAACTGTTCAAAATAGAATGTAATGACGGTGTTTTTTCTTTTTCTAGAGACGCCCCAACATACTTTTGTTTCTCAAATGCAATGCCTGTGTTTTTTATGATCTTTGAACAGAGCAATAAATAAGTAATAAATAAATGTGTAGGCATGATAATTCTGGTAATTTTTATTATGTCATGACATAAACGTAATTAATTTTTCTTCTACTTTAAATTATAACCAATTTTGATGACGTCCATAAATAGTAAAGTCACATGCCATAGTCTTCCTGTTCAGATCTTTTTAAATAACTTTAAAGTAAGTCAGATTTTTCGAATTTTTTTGACAGGTGCTTTTAGTTAGCACACAATATTTTTCATTTAACCTATAATGTCTATCTTCAATAATAACAAAGTTAACTATAAAATCCCCCTAAGCTGGGACACCCTGTATATATTTTGCCGTATTAAAAAAAAATATCCACTTTAGAAAAATTTTGCAAGGACATGTGTTCGACATTTGAAATAAGAAAGTTCCGGTATCCTTCTGATACAAAGCGGTCATCTTAAAAATATTTTGAAATGATTTCTTTTGATCAATTATTCAAAAAAGGTAATAAGTTCCGAATCAAATTCCAAACCGTTCCTGATATACTTCTAATGGTCCACTTCATAACACCATATAGGTATAGGGACCAAAAAAGTTTATTAATTAAAATTAACGCACATTTCATGCTTTACAAACCCCTGACGACTGGACTAAAAATGATTTGTAATTTTTGTAGTTTAATTTTAATTTTACAACAATTTATTTGCGCGTTTCAGAGATTTAAAATAGTTTGTGAATACCTTATGATAGTTTTACATTTAATTTTGTAGCAGAGTAGGTACACCTCAAAATTTCCTAGTTTTTCAGCTTAGATGTGTGAGCCTCAGACACCTAACTGTAATAAGGGAACCAAAAAAAATGCGCCAGAGTCCACATTTAAAAATGAAGATGAACAGAAACACAGGAAAGCTCTTCATTACCTGGCTATACAATTTAATCTAGGAGCATTCATTTGAAAGTTGTGTTCGTTTACAACTTCAGTTGTGTATTCACATTACGGAAAGGACAGTGTAACTTTCTTATAACCATTATTTAGATCAGTAGGTCTCCAAAACCGGCCCGCCAGAATTACCAAGCCGGCCCGCTGTACTTATATCAACTGGCCCATTTCACTTATTTAACTGAGTTGAAGGAATACAAAAAATAATCATAAGTTTATATAGACACAAGTATGGCACTAGCAATACTATTTTCAATATAACTTCGCATCACTTGACTGCTAACAGTCGGCAGGAATGATTGCAAAGTACAGTCATTGACAAAAGTAATGATCGCCTAATCGGTAAACTATAGCATAAGCAAACAACATGCCTATCCCATCGGGTTCGGTCGGTTTCTTTAAGGAAGAGATACTGTTGGTTTGCATTTCCAAGTTGCACAATATATTCAAATGTTGGTTGAGTATGCTGTAGGACAGTGGTGCTCAAACGGTCGATCGCGACCGACCGGCCGATCTCGAATACTTTTTGAGTCGATCTCGAGAAACATTTGCGATTTTCAGAGCAGATCTACACCTACCTTGACTTAAAGAAAATGGATTTTGCGGAAAACTAAATTCTGTCGTTTCCACTAATTAACTAATTGTATGTACAGTATTTTCATGAAATTCTGCAAATTGCGCCACGATACGCCCTACCTATGTAGACAACAATCCTGCTTCACACAAACTTGCATCCTCTCAGAGTTGATCGATCGGAGTCTAACAACATTCAGGTAGATCGTCAGCAGTTCAAGTGTGAGCACCCCTGCTGTAGGATTTACCTAATTTGCAATCATTACTTTTGTCAATGACTGTACTTTGAGAATAGGGCTGAAAATATGATAACTGGATAAGTTCTGGCCCCTGGGAAAATTAAATTGGCCCTAAGATTGAAAAGTTTGGGGACCCCTGATTTAGATTAAGCCAACATTTACCCAATAAGACACTCCAAATCTTCTACAGTTGCCACTTTGCTTTGGAAAGTTTTCTCCAGGACTTTTACTTCATCTAAAACGTCGATCGGTTTACAATTCTTATTCAACAATGTAGCGGATAATCCTATTATACGAGGTGGGTCGGTCAAATGAGTACAAAACGACATAATTTGACACATCGGATGATCGTCAACACCATTATGACACTCATCAAAAATTAACAGATTAACATCCTTTAAACCTGCCAAGAAGAGAAATCTTAATTTGTCCCCCATTCCCCCTAAACATACTCAGTATTGCACGTTGCAGTATATTTACTAGTACTTGAGAGGTCATAACTAAAATTTGGTATTTTTCAAATTGCTCCAGCCAGACGCTGTCATCCCACAAATCAACGTTCATATATCCACTGTACGCACCAACATCTTGATCGGTCAGACTGCGTAAATATTTTGATTGCTGCTCGACTAACGCAACGGTATTAACTAACATAATGCTCAATTTTCCTCCTTGACTGAGAGGCCTACAAATAATACAGGGTAAGAACCCGTCAAGTGCACAATTAATACCTTTGTAGAGGTTCAGATAATCGTTTTAATATCATAACTGCAATTAAGGTCTTTCCTGTACCCGTTGGCAGAAATATAATAGTGTTTTTCTTGATAGCTATTTCCATAATCGTTATTTGATAATCTCTAGGCTCAAAATCCTCGTTTTTTATATCCACTTCCATGGTATTTGCCATTTTATTCAAGGAACTGCAAGATATTAGATAAGTTGAGTCTTGAATTTGTTGTAACTCTAACCTCAAAAGTTTCATTTGTTTATGTTATCTATAGTATAGTATAGTATTTGTTTTCTTAAATGAGGAGAAAAATCACGGGAGGTAAGTAGACAAATAAAATGATTCTAAAACAATTGCCTCCCATCAGCTGCTGGTAATCAGAGAGTATGGATCCAGAAACTAACAGTTTACGTTTATTATCAATTTTCCTCAGTTCGTATATCACTGAAGACAAATTTGATGAAGAAATTAAGCGAACCGAAGAATTGCCATTATTACAACTACTTTTGAAGATGAAGTCGCATCTAATTCAAATGCAAAGACATTCACTAACTTATTACCCTCTAGATGGGTTGCTTGGACAATTTGTGAAAAAAAATGATGAGGTTGCTACCATTATAGACCTTGCTTTACAAATACAGCAGGATACATCTCAATATTTTTTACTGTTAAATTATGTTCACAATAATTTGTTACGTACAGAATCTGGTTGCTTAATTCCATATTTAAAACTACTAAATTTGGTGTTATCGCATTCCGTACACGAAAGAGAAAGGTCCATTTTATTATCATTTTTAGACTCTCAAAATTTTGATTGTGTCATTAACAGTTTACTAAATGCTGACGACAGAACAGTAACCAATTATTTAATTGTGCATATTCTCCCAAAGTATTTAGCCCTGAATACTAATTGCACAAATAAAACTCGAGACTTTGTTTGGAAACAAGCAGTTGACTCTCAAAACTTAGATATCCTATGTACTGTACCAAATTTCTTTTTAAATAGTACTTCGCTTAGTTTAAATGTGTACTGGAAATCGCTACAAAAGTGCCTCGACAGTACAAATACTATTTTACAAAAGCAAGCCCTATTCCTTTTAAAAGAATCTATATATTTGGTTCAGAAGTTCCAGTTAGATTTAGACATTGTATCTGGGAGTGCTACAGCATGGGCCAATTTATTTATGTTATATGAAATCGCGAGGGAGAAGCAATTACACCTTGTCGAACCGGCCTTTGCTCTTCTACCCACAATTAACCAATTGCACCCCTCCTGGCTAATTTCCATATACAAAATTTTGCTAAATCACCCACATAATGCAGTGTGCGCATTCGCAATAGTTCATCTACTGCATTCCGATTGGTTTGCAGCAATTGATGTGTTTGAGCAAGTGGTTGCTTGTTTATTACCGGCTACCAATAAAACCGATTTTACAACCAATCAGAAAATTTGGGAATCATTCCAGAAGTTTGCCAGAGGAGTTGGTAATTTTAAACTTGAAATCGTAATAGCTCAAAGTGCCAGGATCCGATGGATCCCTTCCATTTGTTATATGTTTTATCGTACTATGTTGTTTGGTTTGAGTATTTCCCCACCTCCTTTGTTAGTGGATAAAGTTATTTCCAATATTAACAATGTACCTCACCGAACAATAAGAACAAAGTGCTTTGATCTAGTAAAAAATTCGATAGTACCCTGTAATCTCAATTTTGACGACTTTGTTTATCTAAATTGCCTTTTGGGCCACGATTACGTTATTCTAGCTGATCTGAATAATTACGTTTGCAACATTGAAAACATTCTCACTTTGTGGCAATCAGATCACGTCGATTTGAGGTCTGTGCCTGTACTGGTAAAAGTAATCAAGACTCTCGGAGGTGAATATTTACAAAATCTGCTGGCGCTTTTCAAACTGGGAAAACTGAATCCAAATGTAGCGGACCACCTTTGTAGGGTAAACTGCTTGACAGAGCACGAAATAGCTGCTTACTTACAGACTCGCGTACCAAACATAAAGGAAGGCGATCGAGTAATAATTGTGCCATCATTACAGCATGACGCCTTGAATCAAGTAATTAATTTGTCTACGAATATTTTACTAAACGACACAAGTAATAATTCTCAAATTGAGTTTGCATTCGAAATAGCACACAGATGGGTTGATAAAGGGGGGAAGGTTGACTTACTAAGTGATGTTCTGGAAAAATGGCAGGGAAAAATTTGTAAATTTCCCTTTAGCGCAGGCGTTTGCTGTAATTTTGTGCAGTTGTACAGTAGAGGCCAATTAGCAATTTCTGCAGATAGACTATTGGAAACAATTGCGCTTTTTGAGCAGATGATGGAGACTCAAAATTCGGCTGTAGTGCCTGCAATTTTTTCTTATCTTGGTCCTTTAGTTGATTCCTGTGAAATCATAGACCAGCTCGATCCATTTCTGGAGTTCTGCCTAAAGAAATGGAAAGATCTAAGAGGAAGTGAATTATTTAAAACAGCCACCTGTAATTTTGTAGAAAGCCTACTTATAAATGGTGCGATATTACGTGGAAATGTGCATGCACTGAAAAAGTCTTCCAGTATGTTGTGGTCTCTGTTGGAGCTGGCGAATACTTGCGAAGATATCGCTTATAGTGTATCTGTAAACCTTCACAAACTATCGAAAATGTCTCCCACTGTCTGCATGTACTTCATACCATTAGCAGTTGAATTATTACTGTTTGGTGAAATGCTACAAAAAGATCACAGGTAAGATCACATTTTCAACTTGTGTCACCGAGACATCACATTTTAGGGCCGAGTATGCAGTGTGTCAATTAATTTTTTCGGAAAAGCGAGAAAACAAGTACCTATATGTTTACAGTACCTAATTGTATATTGCACTATAATTATGCATTTTCAGTCCTCATCATCAGAGAATTATGGTGCGAGGCTTAGCAGCTAAATGTGTGCAACACCTGCTCAAAAGTGAACAGCACAAAAAGAATGCAGATACTATAACTGCATTACTGCTAAACAAATATTTGAAACACTTTAGCAAACGATATTTCAGTGACTCGCAAGTAAGTACCTATATATAACGGGCGATCAAAAATGAGTTGCTGTCGAGTCGCCTTTGGAAGTTCAAGTTAAGTACGATTTCCCTATGGAAATTTCATGTAGGTACAATTACTATATTGTGGTGTTTATTATTTTTAGTAATTATTGTAATTGTTCATGAGATACAGATCAGTCTACATTACCTCAAATTTACAAAATTGTTCAAACTAATTTTCTTAATGCAAAAGCATAGCTTCGATAGCTGGAGATAGTTGAGGTACTGCGACGAGCTTTAGTCGAGTAAAATTAGAGTAATATTTGCTCAAACTTAGAACAAATTCGGGACAAGCAACCGTTGTCCGAAATTAGTAGTACCAATAATGCTCTTCAACATACTAAAAGTCCCCATATGTCCGAGGTGCGGAACATCCTGAAAATTGAGCCGCCATCTTGGATTTTCATGTTTTTTGCTAATAACTTTGTTATTATTTTTTTCGGAAAAACTTAGGAAAGGGAATTTGTGAAGCTTTAAAATACGAATCCAATGCTTCTTTATTTCTCGAAATTGATTGGAAACTAAGGGAGTTATGATTTTTTTATTGTATCAATAATCGCACTATACACGAATAACTTCGCGAATAATTCGATTTATCCGATAGGCGAAATTCATTGGAACTTTATAGACCAAAGAGTCAAAGACTAATTATTCTTTATCGATTCAACAATTTTCAATCCAAATTTTAGTTTACCGCCCCCTCCTGGGGCAATATTTTCAAATAACTACCGAATGGATGAGCTTCTCAAACAAGGAGAAGCATTTATATTGAAGTGGTACGGTGCCAAAAAACGCAAAACGCTCGATGACTACCGGTACATCAAGTACAACCAAGTCGTGGCAAGGCAGAATCTCTTTACCAATTTCGAGCTAGCAACATTACCTCCTACATCGCATGCTGCTAGATTCCATTTGAGACGGGTGTATCTACAGGTCCAGAATTGGATGGGTGAGGAATTGAACCCTAAAGACTGGCTGGTTTACGAATCAAAACAATGTCTTGGAGCCCGTAAGAATGGAAAAACCCTGTGGACCGGATCTCATTTTGAAAATGCTGTTTTGCGGTTGCAAAGAAACGTGTTCTAATGCTTGTAGCAGTAGGAAGTCGAGGCTCAAATGCACTGCATGTTGCAGGAATTGTACTGGCAATTTTTGCGGCAACAGCTTAGACCCAGAAAGTGATGATGCTGAACCTTTACCCTAAACTCCCTTAGTTTTCAATCGATTTCGAGAAATGAAGAAGCATTGGATTTGTATTTTAAAGCTTCACAAATTCCCTTTCCTGACTTTTTCCGAAACAAATAATAATAACAAAGTTATTAGCAAAAAACATGAAAATCCAAGATGGCGGCTCAATTTTCAGGATGTTCCGCACCTCCGAGATATGGGGACTTTTAGTATGGTTAAAGAGCATTATTGGTACTACTAATTTCGGGCATCGCATGCTTGTCCCGAATTTGTTCTAGGTTGAACTCTAATTTTACTCGACTACTTAGGTCTTAGGGTATAGTTCGCGCACAATCGGTGAGCTTTTAAAATTATATACCTACATATTAGCGAAATAATAATTATACCATTTCATTTAAAAGAAAAATAAGCAAATATACAAATTATAGTCATTAAAATAGTGGACAGACTCGAGCGCCACCAAGCGAACGGCCTCGCGCCTCCCTAGCGGGAATAAAAGCAACAAAAAAAGCTAAGGCTGACCTTACGGTGCGGTAAACTTAATTCAAAAGCAAAAAATTAAACGGTTTGAATCCAAAATAAAATTTACGGAAAATATCCAAATTTAATACGGTTGAAACACAAAAGCCAAAAGTAAAAAAGATTTTAAGTTTCGGTTAACCACCAAAATGTAAAAGATCGATGTTTTAAATACGGTTGCGCAAAAGTAAATTTACGGCAAAGCTCAAAATTTCGGTCCTTACAAAACGTAGCTTGCGAAAATGCACAAGTAAAAAAAATTCTATTTCATAGTGCGTTTTCTATTTATCTAAATGTCAATTTCGAGTAGGGACAAACGGAAATTCCCGTCTCGTACGCTTATATCTTCGATGCGTTCAAACAAATTAAACCTGATGTTAATTCCGCCTTTTCCCGACATCGGAAAAATATGGGACCGGTATCAAAATTCAAGTTTTTTAAGAGCGCGCCTAACGGATGCAATTTCGCCTTAATCGGAGGTTGTTAACCCATTCAACTAATTAGGATTAATCGATTAATTATACTTATCCAAATAGTCGGAATGAAATCTTCAAACTCTGCAGTCCAGCAATACCCTTTTATTCCTTGGAATGTCAAGCGGCGCAATCTGTTATCACGTTGCTATTTTTCTTAAACTGCACAACCTTGGTGGTTTCAATCCTCGATTTTCGTATACCATTAGAAAACTAAAATCGATTAATCGGTAATTAACGGGTCTAAAACTTAAAAGATTGTTTCTCTCTCTTCTTCCCTGGCAAGAGAACAGCTTTCGCCGGCTGTAAAAGTCGTAAATATTCCTACAGGAACAGTTGCAAAACGGATAAATTCACTGCGAAACTTATAGGCATTATCGTCGGTAAGGCGAACAATTAAACAAAATGAAAACACGGTTTCTTAGTAACCAAGCGCCCAACTAAGACGCTTTTAGACCGGGCAAAGCTGATCGACTTCACAAATATAGTGTGGTCATAACTTCTGGTATGAACTTCAAGGCGGAAAACGGGTGGTTTTTACAGTACTTAAAACCCACTTTAACCGAATAAACTCTTAAATAGTGGTCGATCGAACATACTCTATGTAGGTCTTTGTAGAATCTGTCAAACTATACTGGTTGGTAACAGAACTTCTACATTTTAATGAAATAAAAACTGATTGAATATCTTTTGTTTCAGATTCACTTAACCAAACTGAGAATTCTTCAAGGTTTACTTTTGGTTCACGATCATACAGTAGATCAAAAACAACCGCTAATAGACACATTATTAAATTCTTTATCTAACGAAAGTCACCAAGTAAGCGTCAAGTTTTTCATTATTTGGTTGCTTATCCGATTACTTAGTACGAATGAGAATTGTATACAAATAATCACAAGTGTAATGGAGAAAACATGCAAAGTACACGCATCTACAATTATCGCATTTATTCCAATTTTGTATCATGTCGCTTTGCTAAGAAATCAAGAAGCTTTCTTTTCAGAGCTCTTTAAAATCATGTTGCCATGGACAATGGGTGCTCATTTCAATTTACGTCTGTATGCTCAGGTAACATTTTATTGAAACCATTTAATCTTATATCAGGTTTTAAATATTAATAATAATAAATGATTGCAGATTGGCGTTATAAAACTATACCAGCTTATTAAATCAAGAGGGTTCCATGCTCTTTGTGACCAATACAAACACATACTGAGCTGTGTAAGCGAAGTGTTAGATAAGACTGAAAGAAAGGTAGATGTAATTGATGAATTTATTTTTGATAAGTTCGACCCATACATAGACTACAATTTGGAAATGATATATTACGGTATTCCACACATCACACATGTCACTTGTGATGAATATGAGAATATGATCCACATATTTAATTGTACGAGCCGGTATACAGTACAAGATTTAAATCACTGGCGACCATCCCAACCTAAGCTTGTTAAAGACCTTAGGCCAGATGTTGGTACAAACATAATTCAAAAGAAAATGACGCCTCAGGAAGGAACTAAAAGCCCTGGAGAACTAATTGTAGTTGCCAGTTTAATTGACAAAATTCCAAATTTGGGTGGATTAAGCAGGACATGCGAGGTATTTGGGGTTAAGCAGTTGACTGTAAGTTCGCTATCCGTCGTGAAGAATTCGGAATTTCAAAACCTTAGCATGTCATCAGAGAATTGGGTGAATATTGTAGAGGTGAAATCGGAGCAACTGCAACAGTTTTTGTTAAGCATGAAGGAATCTGGATACACAATTGTGGGGGCGGAACAAACTTTGGATAGTATCAAGCTGAATGATTTTCGATTTCCTATCAAGTGTGTACTTTTATTAGGGTGAGTTACTTCTTTTTACAGATGAAGAATACAGTTTTTTTACAGCAATGAAAAAGAAGGGATTCCTCCCAATTTGCTTTCCTTTGTGGATCAATGTGTGGAAATTCCTCAATTGGGTGTAGTCCGTTCTTTAAACGTACATGTGGCGGCTGCTACGTTTATTTGGGAATATACAAAGACATATATTAAATTGTAAATATATTTTATGCAAACAAAATTAATGCGACCGAGCAATCTCTGAGAAAAAATTCAATATATCTGTGATTGTAAATTCTAATGTAATCAATGAACCTGGATAGCATTGTTGTATGAGTTCTTCTAGCATTTTGTATTGTCGTATAAATTCTTCTTGCATTGCTCGCCACACTACTTGGAGGAGATTCCCTTCTTCAGAAAGGTGTTTCTCTACCTTTTTGTATAGCGCTTCAATACCTTTCTTCACCTGAAAAGTTGAGACTCACACTCGGTTCGCATGAAATTAAATACCTACCGCACTTGAGGGGTACTGGTTGATAACTTTACGTAATTCTTGTTTACTAAACGCAAGTTGATAGCTAACTTCAGAGGCCTTTACGCCGCTTGCAACTCTTGCTTGAACTCCATCGAAAAAAATCTAAAATATAGTAATAAATTGCAATTGATCTATATACCACTAGGCCTAGCCATATAAGTGACTAATGGGTTGCTCCCTAGCACAAACGTAACAAACGAATAATAGGTATTTATTACGCAAGATGATAAAGGAATGTTTTAATCATTGAGTCAAATAACTTTCATAAGATGGTTAGTTTCCCTTTATCGTCGTGTATGATACAAAACTTTATTTTATAGTAGAACCAAAAAAATCATTATAAAACATCTGAAAATTGTGTAGGTATTTAATTTAGACGTCCACATTATCAAGCTTAGATTATCCCGTCTGTTCTTTTCGGAAAACATCATTTTATTTCGTGCTCCATGTCCCATTTTTTAATAACAATGACAAATGTCGTTGGAATGCACAATGATTTATTTCACTTTATCTGCCCTAACTGTTAAAGAGACACTTAGTCTACTCATTAACACATAAGTACTAAAATGTAACATCTGATATAAAATAAAGTGTTATCTCACACCTGAAAGTAACTTGGAAAACTAGTGGCGAACTCTAAACGAACATCTATGATAACAAAACCGCACTGATTGAGCTGAAGTTATTGAAAAGGTTGACACCACAGAAAAAGCCTCAAAAAGATGCACAAGTATTATAGATCTTTCATTAAATTTATCTGCCAGTTAAGTTCCATGGAAACAAATATTATTTATTATTATTTACATTAGAAGTTATACAGGGTGCCCACTATGTATGGAATATAGTCTCAGTAAATAACGACTGTATGCAAAATTTGTACATAAAAGTTGTTTAATATTTTATTTCCCATAAAAGGCAGCATTTGTTTTTATTTCAGAAAACTAATGAATAACGAAAAACAATTGAATTTTTTTAAATAGTAACGTTTGATAGATTTTTTCTCTTTTGAATGACGTAACATGTTAGCACCCTTATACAAGGAATCAAATTTTTTTCAAGCTCTTCGTGATAGGTTAGGCTACTGTCCTGCAGTTAATGGTGAATATTTATTGCGATGAAAACCAGTTTACTGCTAATGTCATGTTGTCTTCAATGTTTAATGTACACGTTCATTTGTTTTATTTTGATGTAGGCTATCGTAATAACCCAGGATGCAGCCGAAAAACGACTGCGCAACTGAAAACCAAAACTAACTGAAACTCGTGGCACGTGATCGTCAAGTAATAAACCTGTCTAGTCATAAGATCTAAGATCTATAGATAGATCAACATAAATAAAACGCACGAAATGGGAGGGGGCGGGAGTAAAATTTAATTAAAAACGTTAAAACAACATAAATAATCAAATCCAAATTTAAATCAGGGTTTACCTCTCTTAAACACACAAGAATAGCTCTAGGGACTTCATTGAATACAAGCAAGAAAAAAATTATTCAAAACCTCCCCAGATATGCACTCACTTACGTTCTTACTATTTTCCAATTTGCATTTATTCATGAAGTTAAATGAGGACCTGCGCAATACGTCGGATTTGTCGACTCGGCGCGGCGACGACAGAGATTGCTAGGAGAGGAAAAACCTGCCGAATGCTCTAACGGTTTTTATAATATGTTGTATCGGATTTATTAGCGCATTTTTTTAATTTTAAGGACAAAAAACACGTTTGAAACACCAGGATTTTTTAATAAACGTTTAGTATGCTACCGTTTATTCGCGTATAAATGACAACATTGTCTGCTGGAGGAGCACTACTTACTTGCCTAGACTATATTCCATGCATAGTGAGCACCCTGTATATTAAGATAAGCTTAACTGAAACGTGAAAAACTTGTCTTAAATTAAAACTACACTGAAACCAAATGAACACTTCTCAACTGCTAGTACAATAAGACGAAATAATTCTCTCCCTGAAGTCGTCTCTCGGCTAATGGTGAGAATTGTTTATAGGAAATATAATATATCTAACACTGTATATGCCGATAACACAATACTTCGAATATTGTTTGTTTTTGTAATACATACATTTAATTTTTCCAATGGTCTTCCAAAGTACTGAGTGACATAGAGAGCAAGTGCATCGTTGTACTTTTGCTTAGCTTCCTTTCTCTGTGCATCTAATACTGATAGTTTTAACTGAGAAAGTAGAGAGTATAAATAGTGATAATTTTCTGTAACAAGATTATTGCAGTTTTTCAATGTCTACCTACCATTGATCTTACCCATTTTTATAACTTGAGTTGGAGTTTTACCATGGTCAATAGAATGCAATGCTATACATTCCAATATAGTATCAATTAAACGTGTGTACCATTTTTCTAAGTCCGCTCTGCGATCACTTTTAAGTAAGACGTCTCCATATCTGGCAAATTCCTCCAAGTTGAAAACGTAAGGCATTATGCCACATTTAGAGCGTCTAGGTAAGCGGCATTCTTTTATCGAGTCAACTTGTGTTTGCATGAAACGATCTAACGAACGTTTAATATTTACCAGCACTGATGCTAATGTGTTACTTAGAAATGAACTTTGCGCAGACATTACATGCTGATTGAAACGTACTAAAACATACATGCAACAACTGAAATACAAATGTGATTAATTTGTGTTTCAATTTTAGACTTACAAAACGTCTTGCTTTTCTATATGTCCTATGAAACTAAGTAGTTCCTCTTCAAGGCACGAAAACAGACTAACCATCATATTACGAACGTCTTCATTAATCTGTTTTTCTACCTTTCGGTGGGAGACAACCGCAACATCAGCTTCGATTCCATCCAGCGTAGTAAGAGTATTCTTAGAGCTAGGGCTGAGAATATCTAACTGTAAGTTTAATAGCAGTTTCAAGGACACAATTCTAATGGGACACTTACTTGAAAAAATGCCATACAAAATTGTTGTTCTTGTAAACAAATGGGTTCAAGTTGTGATAATACTTGTTCCAATGTCCCTTCGTAACGGGTACGTTCTCCAGGCGTTGTGTCAATGGTCCATTGTTCTCGGTCTAGTCCCAAAAGTGCACATGCCTTTATGGGGGATGTTACTTGGGTTGTGTCTGGTCGGGATGCACGAATTTTTAAAGATGGTTTAGACAGTGGAAAGTATACATACTTGCTACTCTTTCCTTTGCCAAATCAAATAAACTGCGAATGTCTCGGTCATACAATTTTCCTAATGAATCTGTGTACACTTTTTTTAGTCCGTCGTATGCTTTACGGTCCATCACCTACAAGAATTATATTTACACTTCCTTTAGAATGTCCTATTCAATCCACTATAGCTGTACAGGGATTTTTTTCAAGCAAACCACCTCAATTTGTAAAAAGTATTTTAAAAAAAATTTGCTGTGGCCAGAACAGATACCACCCGCACACCTGCGATTCTACCTTTTTATGTCTCAGAATAGCCCGACGGATCGACATCGAGATTTTGTTTGATTCGGATTCCTGGTGCTTGTATTTCCGTTAAAAAAAGTGGGGGGTCATTTTTTACCCCCCGATGCAGTACCTCCCTTACTAACGTGTGGGTGGTAATACCTTGAGTTAGTACTGTTTTAATTTTAAATAAAGTACATAACGGAATGTGCCATTTGATTTTTGTTTAAAGTACCTATGATATTCCTAAAGAAATTGACCAATGAGAACCATTTGCAGAAAAATAATCTGTATTGTATTTATTGTGAAGAAGCGAATCCAAACAAAGGATTTGGGGTATTTTGAGCAAGAGAATGTACTAGTAACTTTTATGAAATTATATTTCTATCTACTTATCTAGAAATGGGAATAAAACTTATGCATACAAATACAAACCTTGAGCCAATGCATCAATTCCGCGTAAGTACTTAATTCCTTATGCACCAAACTATGCTGAGGTAAAACCAATCCATCTGTAGTTTTTTCCGACTCTCCTTTATCATTACCATAGTGAATAAAAAGATTATTCAACTGCCTACAAATACTTCTCGAAAATTTATCCTTATACTTCTCGAATCGCTTCCTCTGTTCTTGAACAGCGGCCATGCGAACAAGAGCTGGATCTAACTGTGAATTCATGGCATCCCTTAGTGCATTTCCAGCCTCTATTGCCGACTTTAAACCTTGATTATTTGTTAAATCGGCATCGTCTAAAATTTCTTGATATTTACGTGGCAAATCCAATTGTTTCTACAAATGATCAATGAAAGTTTCCAAATAACTTCCCCCACTTACCACAATGTTTTCTAATTCGTTCAATAAGTGCAAATTATTTTTATTCGCGATGCCAATCATAGAATTCTTTTTTTCCATTTTCTCCATTGCATCTTTCACGTGTTTTAAAATGTCGTCATATGAGTCTAAGCGCTGCTCAATTTTATCTGCCTCTTCAATCGCTGTTTCGAGTTGTTCCATTAACGTCTCCACTTGTGAAGCTAATATGGATTGGACATTTTCGCCGTCTAATAACGAGAGATCTCTAGCTAAAACTTCCATGAACGCTTCTGCATTACTAATTGCAAATTCACAATCATTCATTAATCTGAAAGTTGTATCATTATGATACCAATAATTCTGAGCAAAACAAACCTATTCAAATCTTCTTGCTCTTTATCTGTGATAGCCTGAAAGTCATCTGATAAATCCGGATCAAGGGCCATTAAGGGAGATGAAACATATTTATTTTCCGGAGTTAACACATCTTCAATCGTCCACGCTTTCGGAATATTCTTAAAAATGGGCCTATCTTTTAGGAGATGCTTCGAGCATTGTTTAAAAAGTGTAATGATAAAGACCTGCCTCTCTTGTACGCTAGAGGCTGCCCATCGATATACTTTATCGATGTGTAAGTCAAACTCATTCGTGTCAATTGTTTCAGTTTTACCATCGACCACTTTGAGCTCAGATAGAGACCATGCTCGCTTCTTCTTGTAAATCTTATCGGACTGCTTGATTTGTACTATTGAAATGTTGATCGGTACACTAATCGAAGACACAATGCAGAGGAATGACGATTTCTTCTTCTTGAACAATTTGCCCACATGACAAGTTGCTAGTAGCCTTTCTTCGTTAGCTTGAAACACTTCCTGTTGTAATGTGTGTCTTATTGTGGTCATTTTCTATTCTTCTCTTAACTTATAAGAACTAGTTTACATTTGTATTTCAATTGTAAGGTTAGGTGATTGATTCACTGTCTTATATACAACTCTGTGGATTCACTGCAAAACGGCTGTGGTTATTCCACTTATTTCTTACATGATATACAGAGTGGATCCGAAAAACAAGGTTTAGGACGGTAATGCTCGTTTGCACCGACAAATTTAAGCGGAGCCATTGATTATATATGTTACCGGCAAACTGCGAAATCCGGCATTTTGCAAAATGCCTAGGCATTTCGCGAAATGACGAATGCAACAGGCAAAGTAAGAAACGGAGCTGCAGTTCGCACTTTGCCTGCCTCTCCTTAGGGATTTCGCGAAATGCCTAAACATGCAGGCAAAGTGCGAAGGCCTCGTAATTTCCCACAGATTGCGCATACAGCGTTGCCATTGGGTGGTAAACAACGCGACGATTGCGATTTTATTTAAGTGCTTGCTAAATATTGCGCTCACGTTTAGACCTGCATTTCTTCTATGGGTTCTCTGTTGAGTCACGCTTTGGATTTAATGTGGAGAATATATCAAATGGGGGAAGGTACTAAAGCGACGGTTTTACGTTTGGCACAGCTGTACGCGGAATCTGTGGAAAATAACCGAGAATTCTCACTTTGCCTGAATGTTTAGGCATTTCGCGAAATCCCTAAAAAGAGGCAGGCGAAGTGCGAAGTCAAGTTCCATTTCTCACTTTGCCTGCTGCATTGGTCATTTCGCAAAATGCCTATAGGGATTTTGCAAAATGCCGGATTTCGCAATTTGCCGGTAACATATACACTATAATCAAGGGAGGAGATTAGCTTAAGCGTATATTTTTAATTTCATAATTCTAATTAGCACACATTGTCTCTTGGAATGTAATGAGAAATATTCGTTCAACCTCGGTTCTGGTAAAAATTCACAATACTTTTTGACTTAAGACAGACAGTACAGCTGTTCCGTTGCCCGAAAACGCTTGATTTCGTTCCACGATATCTGAATTCTGAGTGTAGATGAAGAAGGGGTCAAATATTCCTGTGAAAGGTGAATGCTTTAAGGTGGGTTCATAGCTCTCCGTTCATCCGTTGCGTTGATCCGTCAAACGGATAGTACATTTTGTTAAGGTTCATAGCAATCCGTCCACATTGTACATTTGCAAGTATAACCATAACCTATACTTTATTTTGTACTGTACCCTCCGTCATTTTCAGTATGTAAAAATGGTACGAATGTAAGAACACATTGCTATCTGGTTATTACCGTGAAGAACGAATAGGCGAACGCTATTAACGTACCAAACATAACCTCACTTTTGTTAAAAACGGACCAACGGAAACGTAAATGTTCAACTTCAACCAACTTTTCCGTCGTAAACGGACGACGTACGATTTAAAAATTTGCTGTCTTCTGATTGGCTAACGGACAAACGGAAACGTATGAACGGAGAGCTATGAACTTACCTTAAGGTATTAGACCAAAAGGTTCCTTAGCAACTGATTGTTTATTTATTTTGCCTTATGTTTTGAGTGGACGGGGTTTCAGCCAAAGCCAAGGCTGCTTTAGGTTCGTGACCTTCAACTATGGTTTTACAACACCATCTATTGATTAGTTGTATACATTTTTACATTTAACGTTTTATACTAATAAAAATGTTCAATTTAAGAAAAAAATGTTACATTGCCATTATAAATAAATAAGTACAATGTAAATATTAGCAAATGTTAGATTTTTTGCACAAACGCTATATCGAAACAGCAAACGCAATTAAAAAATGCGGGGTCATTTAAGACTTCCCATGCTCTTTGTGTGTGTAAAAATAATTGACGTATGAGAGTAAATGTTTATGGTAAAAATAACCGTGCCTACGACACGTTAATATTGCTTCTGTTGCTGCTTGTATACAAATCCATATACAAAGACTCCACAATATGTATGTCCTATTACTCCTCATTCTTGAACTATAAACAACGTAACTGGAAGAAACCGTGCGACAGAATAAGGTGGTGATATAACTATTTCATTCACTCTCATCGCGCCCAGTTGGTTTAATTAGCACCCCTGATAGAAACAGAAAATATGAATTAAAGTGAAATAGAAAAATTATGGAAATGAATTTAATGTTACTAGTGTGACAGAGATAAAGATACTACCACTAGTCTGGCTTCAATAATAATATGCTTGTTTCCCTTCCAGTCGAGATACTTCAATGTTCTCATTTGAAGGGGAACTGTGTCGTGACGTACATTAATGTTTGCTACCTGATTTGTGACCGTCTCATTAGCCACTACTAAACTAACTGTTGAACAAGTGGCGACATCCCACCAAGTAAACGATCATCTGTACTACAGAAAGTTGTATTATAAATCTAAAAAAAAACGGTAAAAATCCACAAGCAGCCAACATAAACCACAATTTGTCCCATATCCTTTTTATCAATCCCCTAGGAGGTTATCATCTCACTGCTTCCATCACCCATACGATTAGATTATTCCATCCATCTATGAACCAATCAACGTCGTCAGATGCCTATTAGAGATTCTATTAACAACAGAGATTTTAATTTAATATTTTGTAAAATACAATAACAACTATGGTAAGTTCATGCTTCAAATTTTGTTATTTTTAAGTTTTGATTCAGTTCACTGCAAAGCTTTAAAAAGGATTAGGTTAGGAGGGGGCGTTTCATTTGTTTTTGCTTGTTAGCAGTTTCTTTAATATTGTTGACCGCAACTAATTTTCAGACTGAGAGAGGAACTCCAGATGAGGGAAATAACGTTCCTCTCATCGATAACAGCCTACTAGTTGATATCTCCGATGCTCTCAGTGAAAAGGACAAAGTTAAGTTTACCGTTCACACCCGTACGACTCTGAAAGGATTTCAGAAATGTGAATGCTTGGTGGTTCGTCAACATGAGGAATTCATATGGTTGCATGATCGTTATGAAGAGAATCCTATATACGCGGGATACATTGTAAAATTACAGAAGTGTGTTGAAAATGCAATAATAGATATTTACAGATCCCACCTCCCCCACCGAGGCCAAATTTTGATGCCTCACGTGAGAAATTGCAACGCTTAGGCGAAGGAGAGGGAACGATGACGAAAGAGGAATTCACCAAGATGAAGCAGGAGCTGGAAGCGTAAGATCATCAATAATTAAAGCTTAAATTTACTCTGCTTGTGTAGGGAGTATTTAGCGACGTTTAAGAAAACTGTTGCTATGCACGAAGTGTTTTTAACACGTTTAGCAAGTCACTCGGTGTTCCGTGAAGATAACCACTTACATGTGTTCCTTGAATTCGACCAAGATTTGTGTGCCCGTCCCAAAGGTCGTTTACAGCAGCTAGGTGGTATTGTTAAATCATTAGGTAGCACAACCGATCAGTACTATTTGGGTGCCACTGTTAGGGATGTGAACGATTTTTTTGAACAGCAAATGAATTCTATTACCGAATATCACAGTCATTTGAAGGAAGCTACTATTCGTACAGATAAAATGACAGAAAAGCATAAAGGTGAATGGTTTAGTTTTTTGTTAAAGTATTTTAGTACAATAATGACATCAATGTATTTGTGGATAATCTAAAGTACTTACCACTGTAAGTACATAGTCTGTGTTATTGTATTCTGTATTTCTTTGCCTTTCGTGAATTGTATAGATCTTGTGTACAGCGTGTTCCAAAGGTAAATACTACTTTGTTTAGTATATTTTTGGATATCTTTTCAAATTTTCCTAAAACTCGTCTTTTTGTACACCACTATTTTTTTTACAAAAAAGGTGTTACACTTTTTAATAAACTCCATGTATTCAAATTTGTAGAGGTTGCTCTAAGTATGTTACTTGAGGGATGCCTTATCTTACTGAAATACTTCACCATGTACTTTTATAGCAAGAAATGAGAATAGTTGGGTACCTACATTATACAATCTTTACAGAGGTTGCTGATAGTTACATTAAAATTTCGGGTGGACTCTTACAATTAGCTAACGTAGATTCCGGTCCACTAAATAAATTTCTAGCGAAAGTATCGGATTACTTCGAAAGGGCCAGAGTAAGTTTTTTCGAAATGGTTACACAAGGTTAATGTAGTTTTACAGAAAACTGAAAGTAGGGTAGCTAGTGATCAAGATCTGAAGTTGGCGGATACAATCAGGTACTACATGAGGGACAGTCAGGCGGCAAAGGCCTTGCTTGTGAGGCGTTTGCGGTGTTTGGCTAATTACGAAGCTGCTAACCGAACGTTGGAGAAGGCTAGGCATAAAAATAAAGAAGTTCACGCTGTAAGTTTTCATTTTTACTTATCACATTTGTTTGCTTTAATACTTGCACAATTAACACGCTGCATTGTTTGAAAGGCACCAGAAGTACAAGAGGTAACTGCTTTATTTTCAATTTTATGTTAATGTGCAATCATTTTATATTTTTATGTGTGTTTAGGCCGAGGGCGCTCAAACAAGTGCGTGTGAGCAATTTGAGTCCATATCCGCACAAGCGAAGGAGGAGTTGTTAGATTTTAAAACGCGGAGATTACACGCATTTAGAAAAAGGTAACTATTCAATAAATATGCTGTTATGCTACTTTCTTCTTTCTAGTTTAATAGAATTAGCAGAGTTGGAATTAAAGCACGCTCGTACTCAGCAAGAGTTAATTCGTAAGTCAATACAAAGCTTACAAGAGCTTCTTTAATGATGGCCGTGATATTTTTCTACATAATTACTATTTTTCTTTATTGTTTTATTACACATTCCTGTTTTATCAGATTTTATATCAAAAGAAAGAAGGAATGTTTATATAAGCTCTATTATTGTGTAATGTAATGGTTAAATGTATAAAATATATATAGTATGACAGTTTTATTTAGTCATATAATGAAATTTGATATGTTATTTCTCTATTAGTTTTATTTAAATAAAATCACAAATTAGATTTGCAATACATTTGCTTCTGGAATTAATTAATTGTCTGATTTTTCTTTGTCACTGGGTACTTTCAGAATCCGTAGCGGGTAGGGTGCGAACTTACAGAATTTTTTAGGTCTTTCACTCCCCCCGCCCTCAGTGGGGCTCATGTAACACCTGAACCAGGTGAGGCACATCCTAGAAAATATTCTGGGAGGGGGAGGGGGGGGACTGACATTCACATTTCTCCCAAAAAGAAAAATTAAATGCAAAATATGCCCCCCCTCCTCAAGAGGTACAGTGGGCGCGCGAAGTGTTTCAGTAAAGTTCAAAAATTTTCAACGAGCGAAGGAGGGGAGATATCAAAAAACTAAACACTGCGCGCGCATAGGCTCGTTTACGGTTTATGTGGATTGTGTGGTACATACTATGGTATATTTAAAGTATACCTTATGCGGTACGGAGCACGTGCGACGCGTATCGGAAATCGTAGGAAATGGCGTTTAGGAACGGCAAGGTATATGGAATCGGACGTGTGGGGTCACGACGCTAGACGCTACGAACGCGATGGGTACCGAGAGCGTTTGCTTGAAGGCATTCATAGACTCCTTCAAGAGTAGCGAAGATTTTGAAGCCTATTTTTCTGAAAGATTCGCGCGGATGCACGGTTCGGATTTTTATTGCTGGGCGGGCCGACAGTTAATTTTTGCAATGCTTGATGTGGTTTGTCTTTCAATGTCAATCCAATGTTATTGTTACTATCCTTACTTACTTACATTTGCCGCCATTCAAGCATAACCTGCTGAGAACCTACACGAGATGGCGCGTCATTTTTACATTATATTACGTAATCCGATCTTCTTGTTGTTTCTAGCACCTCGAACCTGCTGGACGACAACAATGCATAAGAATAAATTGCAAGTTAATACATTTATCATATCAACATTAATTACCACTTCGTTAATGTATTTTGAATCGTCATGTACATATTAACCTGCACTGAATGCGGTTGTTATGCCATAGTCTAGACACAGTCTTGGTGTAGGTCAAGATTTATAACCTTACTTTGTATAAATTAATATTTTTCTTTAACCATGTTAAAAACAATAAATAATTTGAAAGCGTTACACTCTACCTATCTATCTACAAGAAGTATGCCTCGCACACATTATACGTATGACCGAATAAAACTAATTTACAACAGATTTGCAGCAGTCAAAAACCAAGTGGGACTTATTGACCGCTGTGTGTGTTGAGAGGAAACCGATCGTTACACCAGCCTTAACAGAGTTAGAACAAACTTTTCACAAGTATCTCTCGGAAAAGGAGTTTGAATTAAGTTTGAAATCCGATCACGAACTGCAACATGAGGCTGAATTGTTATTACACAATATTCACTCATTCGGATTTATTTGAAGGTTTTTATTTTAGGAAACAGCAAAGTTTACTTAAAAAGGGTGATGTCGACCTTGATGCCACAACTAAGCAAACTGCACAAGACTTTCTGGATGCTTGCACGGAGGAGCTAGCTCAATTCAAGTTTGCGGATCGACTTACAGGTTTCAGAGGAATTGTTCAAGTTTCTTTTAAATTTGGAATATTACAGATGCAGACAGGTCTAATAATTTGAAAGTAATCAGTAGAAAGTTAGATAAACATTTGGTATTGTTGACCAAACAAAAGTTAGGTAAGGATAATATATTTTTACTTCCACAAGGAGTGCGGCAAGATGGTGAGACTCTTCGACAGGTACAACTATCAAGATTTGGATTGTTATGCTTGCATTATTGATTTTAGTGTGCAGAACGTGTTTTAAAAGAATCTTGTGGATCTGATATGAAGACCAAATTCTATGGCAATGCTCCTTGTGGGTTTTATAAATATACATATCCCAAAAGTGTACAGGAAGAAACTGATTCAGTTGGAGCCAAGGTTTTATTGTGGTTGTTCAGGATATAATGATTATAGCTACAGTTATAGGTTTTTATATATTTTGCAAGACATTGTGCTGGAGAACCCAAGGATACTGATTGTAAATGGTTGGATAGGCAAGAGCTACAAAAGGAGTTAAATCCAAAGTATCTTGATAGTGTAGCAGCATTTCTAATAGATGAAAAATAAAAACCTTTGTGTTCTTTTTCTGTATGGTGGTTCAAATTCTGTAGTAACAGGTTGTGACTGCTTATAGTTAGTAAAACAATTCTTGTACCACTCATATATTGTGTTACCTCTACCACAGATTAAAATAAATCTGGCCCAAGAGGTTGAGTAGATAATTTAATAGAAAACTCTTCAAAATAGTTTAATTAAATTAATCATAAGTACTGATACATTTTCCGACTGTTACTATCAGAGCTGGGCAGTATTAGATTTTGTAAATACTTTTTAGTATTCAAATACTTTGTAATTAAATACTTTTATGGAAGCAGTATTTGTAACTCAAATACTTTCACAAATATTTAGTACCTATTCGAATACTTCGCAAAGTATTTGAATACTTTGAGAAGTATCCAAAACGATTCGTACTTTTTCGATTAGACCTCTCAATCAAAAGTTATGGACAAAAAACCAATTTCGAAGAAAATTCAAAGGGCTGTAACTTTTGAACTAGTAGCCCAATCTTAATTATGGACTCTACAGGCCACATTCTATAAGAAAATTTTTTTTCCGGGTCAATCTGAGACCATTTTTTTTCGGGTCTCAAAAAAAGGCAGTATAACCTTCCTTTTTTACCAAAAATCGACTGCACCAACATTTCTCGGGAAAACACTTTTTCTTATTACTTTTGGTGCATAGAATCCAAAACAATACGTACTTTTTCGATCAGACTTCTCAATCAAAAGTTATAGACTAGAAACCATATTTCGAAAGAAAATTCAAAGGGCTGTAGCTTTTGAACTAGTAGCCCAATCTTGGAACTGTTGGAAATTATGGATTCTACAGGGCACATTCTATAAGAAAATTTTTTTCCTGGTCGATCTGAGGCAATTTTTTTTTCGGGCCTCAAAAAAGGCAGTGTATAACCTTCCTTTTTAACCAAAAATCGACTGCACCAAAATTTCTCGGGAAAACACTTTTTATTATTAATTTTGGTGCGTAGAATAAAACAATTCATACTTTTTCGATCAAACTTCTCAATCAAAAGTTATAGACTAGAAAGTACCAATTTCGAAATAAAATTCAATGGGCTGTAACTTTTGAACCAGTAGCCCAATCTTGGAACTGTTTGAAATTATGGATTCTACAGGCCACATTCTATAAGAAAATTTTTTTTCCGGGTCGATCTGAGACAATTTTTTTTTCGGGCCTTAAAAAAGGCAGTGTATAAACCTTCTTTTTTTACCAAAAATCGACTGCACCAAAATTTCTCGGGAAAACACTTTTTCTTATTAATTTTGGTGCGTAGAATCCAAAACAATACTTTTTCGATCAGATTTCTCAATCAAAAGTTATAGACTAGTAACCAATTTTGAAAGAAAATTCAAAGGGCTGTAGCTTTTGAACTAGTAGCCCAATCTTGGAACTGTTTGAAATTTTGGATTCTACAGGCCAGTTTCTATAAGAAAATTTTCTTTCCGGGTCGATCTGAGACAATTTTTTTTTCGGGCCTCAAATTAATGTTTAATTTGATTTGAATATTGTTGCTTTTACTTCACAGAAAATAAATCACTTATTGCGCTACTTAAACTGTGATTGGCACTACACCAGTTGACAATATCAGCTTTTTCTTCAGTTGAATAAGTACATCGCATTAACTTCTTTTTTCCTCGCTTTTTTCGTTTATGTCGCACTCTGCTATTTCACGTATCTCTGGTCTAGAATCCAAGGCCACAATCTTATTTCATAATTCAAGATCACGACATTGCACCAAAGCCCAGGGATTTATGACTTTGTGAAATCAAAAAATCCAAGATGGCGTTCATCTCTTCTACTTACAAATGATTAGTATAATGTTCTTGGTCGGAGAAACTATCCACATTTTCATTTGATGGATTTGAAAAAATAGAAGGAACCGAATTAGCCTTTTACCTAAGCGAAAACGTTTCTGTTTGAAAGTTTCAGGACAATTGTCTTTATTTCGAAATAAGAAACGATGTAAGTTTCAATATGATACAATTACAACTAATTCAAACAACACTAATAAAACGCATTCAGATACTCGACTAGGCATACATTATTTTTTTCAAACTTTGAAGGCGCCTGGCAAAGTGTTAAGCCCCGCGTCTCTTCAGCCAGGTCCGCAATTCGGTGTTTGGGTATTATTGAAGAAGTATTGGACAAGCTGTCAGCGTGCCTCAAATACCTACCCAAAAATGCCTACCAGCTCTCGGACTAGTACAAACTTTGGATACTACAGACGCCAGAAAGTCGTCAAATGGTACATTTCAGCGAATATGGAAAAAATAATAATAATGGTTGTCCTTATCCAGCGTTCGATTACGACCTTATCAATTGGTCCAATTCTAAAGTTAGGTCAATCGCCACAGAATGTAATGGTCTTTAATTCGTCTCGTAGTAAGGTTTTCGCTAGGATTTGTTGTTTATGAGTTAAGAGCGAAAAACTGAAGAAAGTCCGAAAATAATAATAAAATAATTTAACCAATAACAGTGTTGACGGATTGACATAGATAACGGGGGTATGTAAACGCACCCTGACTCTTCCAACGCACCGCACTAAAGGAACTAGGGCGAATTCATAAGAACAACTAATCGAACATAATGATCGGATTGACTGATTACCTACGTAGAATATGTCCAAAGCAGGTCACAAATAACAAATCATTTTTCAATTATGGGGAAAAACCAACAATTAGATTGAATTATAATAATTATTATGAAGTACGGTGTCCCCTACGTTACCAGGGCTTATGTTTCATGAAGTTACGCGCCTGGAAGTGAAAATAAATCATTACGGAATGAACCCAAGGATGCTAAATAATATAGCATCCTTGGAATGAACCTATAAACAAGAACGTTGGTCCTGGCTCACCTAGTTTACTTGGGCCATTTTCCTGTTTCACCACAAATATTATTGGAAGGATTGGATTGGACTCTTCATATATTGCATAAACTCTTAGTGTATTTTTCTAACGAACTACTTTTTAAAGTGCGCGAATGACTTGTGTATGAAGATACTTTTGAATTTATATTTGGCTTTTATAGCATTGTTCAGATTTGTCTATTTTTCTTCTATTAAATCAATCAATGTAGATAGGTACTAATTTAGAGCATGCAGTTGATACCTACCTCAAGTTTTCAGTGAAGTTCTGACAACACCTTCAATTCAATCCTTTTCGGCCAGTTAATAATTTGTTAATCAAAATATCCAAGTTTGATTAGTTTTTTTGAGTTCAAATTCAAATAACATAAATACTTACCTACATCACTATGGTTCTAATGAACGAAATGGGTTTAGGTAGAGGTCATTGGCATATTAAATTGACCTTAATTCAGATGCATTGGGGGATTACCTGCCTTTTTTCTTGTTGGGTGTATAAGAGTAAACGGCAATGCCACAAAATAAATATTTATTAGGTACAAAATTTTTCTTACACATTAACATACGTAATTGCTTAAAATCATATACGTCATTGACTAGATTTTAAGTTTTAGGTGAGAAGTATAAATCATAAGTAATTGAATGTTTTATCCAAGTCAAAAAATTAGTTTGTTAAATTTAGTATCAGTGATTACCAAATAAGAAATTGGTAGGGGAGCAATTTATTCAAGTTCTGCCCAAAAAACAACACACTATTCAAAACGTCTCTATTCGAATATGAACATCTAAAGGAATGTACTGTACACATTTACTTAAATATTCTCTTAACTATGTAATCAGTCTTACGCAGTTGTTCCTAATTATGAGGTATTTGTAAAATTAAATTATTATTATGTAGTAACACCAACAAATGTAGGAACATTGAATTCAATCGTAAATTAAACATAGCACCATCAATATGATTGCAACTACATTAAATGAAATAGTCTATCAAACTGCTACTGACTTTTCCTCTGTGATCCCTAGCTTTCTCTTTTCCCATCTACTAATTATACCTAATGGGTAGCAAATTACGGCCGAAGCCAGAATAAGACTCCCGGATAAATAGAACGAAGCGTCATAACTGCCGGTGACTTTGAAAAATTCTCCAGCCATCGGTGCACCTGCACAAGCTGCTACACCTTGGAAAAGTAGAATAATGCCAAAAGCGTTCGTCAGGCGATCTAATCCAACAAGATCCACGACTAAAATTGGTCTTAACGAGGCAAAGCACGCTGAAAATGGAATACAATTAACTTTTTTTCAAAAATTGAATTAAGAAACTTACACATGCTCAATCCGAATATAATTGCGTAAGCATACTGGTATTCCGTCGACTGAGATAGTCCACTTAAAATGGTTGCGATTCCGCCAATACTTATTGCAACATTGTTTACTAACAGTACGTTGACTTTTGGAAAAGAACTGATCATGCCGCTAACCACCCTTCCTATTGTGTTTGCGATTCCGAGAGTAGAAATCAACCATATCGCTTTGTGTTCGTCCATTCCATTGATAACGGCTCTGTGTTTTGAGTAAACAAACGGCACGAAGAATCCCAACATTGTTAACAGTCCACTTGTAGCTAAGATTAGGAACGAAATCGATTTGAGCAGGCTTATATCTAACATCGTCGCCAGTGGCCTTCGAATAGATTCCGGACAGAATCGACACTCTTCCTCAGCCTCTTCCTCTATTTCGTGTTTGGTCGGTGGACGGGTTACCGAAAGGTTGTACGCAAGGGAGCTTTGCGAGGTGTACTGAGGTAGGCGGGTGAGACTTGCGCCGAAGAAAATGTCATCGCGGTATAGTGGCCGATTATCGTGAACAGTCAGGGTACCCCTCCGCCTCACCAAGTCACTTCCATCGGCGAGTTTTGGTCGTCGCTCTCCCATTGTGTGTCTCCGATTCGTCATTACGATTGGTTTAAGTCCATCGTCTTGGTCAAGAAGCGGAGTGGTACCAGTTGTTTGTTCGTCTTCCCTCTCCTTCTCTTTTGTTATTGTTATGAAAGGTATGCTTGGTCGTTTGTCTTTGTAAACTTGGGCACCGCGGTGAGGAACGCTAATGGTATGATACACCTTGTCAGTTTTCCATACTTGTGCGGCAGTTGGGTAAGCCGCGTTGTTGCTAACGCCTAGCATTTTTGGAATAGTAGCTTGGTTTTCGTTCAACGAGTGAGATGAGACGGCTTTCATATTGGCCAAAGCCGTCTCCATCTTCATGCGAGTATTTGGGTTAAGTTTACTGCTATCCATAACTAACTCTGGCTTTTCTTGTTCATCTTTGTTTTTCAAATTTTTCAATTTCGTGGGTTTCACTGGCCTGAAGGTGGACGCAAATAGTATGCATGTTAAAATCATAAGTGCTTGGGCGATTATGGTGCAGCGCCAACCGATAGTTTTTATAAGGGCGGCGCATAACGGCGCAAAAACGAAGGTACCGGCACCAGATCCACAAACCGCAATACCAGTTGCTAGCGCCCTGAATTTTTCAAAGTAGAATCCTACCGTAATCACAGCCGGCACGTATATTAGACCAAAACCAATTCCTAAAAAGCAAAGGTGTTGTGTACAAAGATTTCTGGCACAAGAAGTGATTAAGTTTCTAAGCCAATGATGTTATCACATTTGATGTGGTAAAGTGGACAAAGTACATGTATTACAAACTTAAACATATTATACAAATATTCTGTAATGGAATCAACCCATAAACAAATAATTTATATAGTTTACGTTCATTAATGCTGTATTGTTATTACGTTATTTCTCTACGGACTACAAAACAACGGTCAAAATATTTCTGCGCGTTTTACCAGAATTAGAATCGGTAGTGGAATCTGTTTATCAGAAATGACGTATGAGATTAACAAACTGAATGTTTAATGACCCTTGATTAAAGTTTTATAGGAACTTCACGTTACAAATTACGTCATGCGAGAATTTTTAAGAACGTAACACAGAACGATTGTGAGATGACAATACTCAAAATGTGAGATTGGAGAGACATTTCTTCGTTCCGAGTCCCTTGTTAAATTGATGCAATTTATATTTAATATATTTAATATATATTTAATAGGATTATAAATGCCTTCTTTATTCCTTAAAAGAGTTTGTAAGTTTTGATCTGAACTACCTAAGAAACGGTTCAAAATTGATGTACTACCAAAGATCAAACACCCTTAGCGTTCAAATTTTCCACGAGTATTAAATAGAGTTTAGACTACTTACCACCAATAATTCCGTATACCACGCAAAGGTAAATGATGTCCGTAGCAAAGTAGGATAATCCAAAAACGATGGCGGATAAAACACTTCCAACGATTGCTACCAATCTAAAACCGTAACGGTTTGCAAGAGCACTGGTAAATGGTCCGACCATAAGATAAAAACCAGATAATAGAGATCCAACTAGCGAAACTTTGGCTTCCGATACATCAAACTCTTTTGAGATATCTTCCAGGAACATCCCAAAAGCGTAGACGATTCCGTCTACGACCATGTTGCAGAGAAATGAGGCAATAACGACCACCCATCCCCAACCACCGTCAGGAGGAACTACAATTTCGGCATCATCAGATTGCTCATCGGAATCTAACGATTCACTATTTTCATTTGATTCGGTTGGAAGTTGAGTATTGTTTTCAGTTTCAGTTTTTGAGATTGGTAAGTATCCGTTTTCCTCACCGTTGGATACGCCGTTTGGTGACATACCGTTTCAGGGGGTTTCTGAAAAGAAATTGTGAGAGGCATTAGTTAATTGTCACAAAACTTGAGATAGGTGTGTTCTCCAGATAAACTCGTTCATGGTCAAGTTATGCATGTAATTACGGTGCGTACCCACCGGTTATGTAAATTTTTTTATGTTTAGTAAATTACTAAATAGCATTCTTGGTTAAATCGGGATTGTTGGAAAAGAATTTCATCTGTTCAGCAATTAGCAATTCTTAAACCCAATCTCAATGAAATGGCAGTAGACCTACTACATCATGTCTATAAGGCACGTTTGATTTTGTATAAATTAAACCAAGGACATGTTAAGCCTAACAAAATTTTAATTGGATAATTAAGTCTGCGCCGTGGAGAAGCTGTCAATGTTCGTCTAATTGCGCTATAGGTTAACAATGTTGTGTCAATGCAATCAATATAGTTAAACTATATGAGGTGCAACTACAGGCGCTAATAAAAACTGTTCTAAACCTATTTTACCTATTAATCCATATATTTATCCGCTTCCATTGAAGTTGTTTGCGTACAGCTTTAGTATTTTTGTTAATTTTCTTTAATGGTCTTGAACTTTTAAATAAGATTAATCTGCTTAGAATAAAATGATTTTTCAATCGCAAAAACGTTTGAGTAAACAATTCGAAATAAAAAGTAGCAATGTACCAAGTTGGTAGGTAGTTATTTGTGAAATCACAGTTTGAATGTAATTATCACTGGACTGTTGAAGCACGTGGTAATTATTATTTTGGTATATTAACAAATTCAGTACCTACTCCCCTCCAGTTCAGGAAATGCAAATTAGGTACTTATTTAAAGCGGGATCCGTTTAAGTTTAATTTTTTCGAAAAACTCATGAAACAAATTGTATCATGGACTTCACGTTCTCTGACCTTTCCGGTACACCTCCACCTTGCAATTTTGATGGCCAGCGAGTGCTTTTTCCGATTTATATTTAACTATTGGGTATTGATCGCAAATTGATAATGCATACATGGTTCGTATTTGTTCATTCATAATAATCTGTGGTTAAATTATGCGTCATTTCCGATTTCTTATAACTGTGGCAGGAAACAATACAAGGGCTAAGGAAATGTGCGACCGGAGACATAAAAAACAAAAAACATATTTTTGTGCGAAAATGTCACAATGCATGAATTGTATGTAAATAGCATTTCTTCACGTTATTCTCTAACTTTGCCCTCTTTTAGTGTACGCACCATGACTGACATGTTTGATTTGTTATAGTCACTTGAGGTTTCTTTTACGTATTTTTGGGGGGTAATCTCCGACACGTGGAACAGTAACTCATTTACATCCGTCACATGTGTTTTAAACAGTTTATACGCGTTTCACTTATCTGTAATTTTATCACACTAGAAATGTAGAACCTAAACTTCCAAAAATAAGTGGCATAGGGAGTATTTTCTAAATTAATTTTTTCACGAGGAGTTTAATTACCTTTTAATTATTGAACTCAAATAAATCTCAATTGGTAAGTGTACAAGAAACTACCGTCACTTGATCGCAATGGCGCGCTGTAAACTAATTTAAATTATGAACTGGCGCGGTCTTCACATAAAATTGTTTATATGTACAGAAGCGAGTTCCCCTTCTTTTGCTTAAACAATTCTTACAGTTTCTGTATTTTATCAAGACTTATCTGCTTATTTTAACCTCTATGACACTTTTGCTCGAACAAGATGCTGTGTACATCGACTTGATAATTGTTGTTACACAGAAATTCGACAATTTCAATCGGCGCCAATGGATACCCATTTATTGCCAATTTCCAGTTTTATTGCGAATATAAACGTATGGTATTCAAACGTCCCCGACCTTTGATGAAGACGAAATGTGCACATTATTTAAAATTATTATTAAGATGCAAATCATAATTCAAGCGATCGAAACTCGAATGAAGATTATCATTACCTTCGAAATGGTGACGGTGGTATTCAAGTTCATTAAAAATCTTGCTTTGCTCTTTGGGAAAATTTTACTGAAATTAGTTCCATATATTTTAATAACCTTGTCCCTTGTTCCCATACATTCATATTATTTCGGTACCAAAATTAACATTTCATTGATATGCCAAGATTGTCGAGATTAGGAGACACGTCCAAGATAACAGTTATAATGTTACATATTACCAAGTCCCTTGTATTTGTCAAGTGATTATGTTATAACTTATTCTTTTTTATGATACCTACAGGTTTTCACTTTTCATAAGATACTTTTGCATAGTTCCTTCACTTATATTCATTGAACCGTTAAACTATTAATTAAATATTCAACACCTATATTTTCGAAGCCCCCGGAAGGGGGAATTCCAACGTTTTTTTAAATCTTCGACATAAAGATCTCACAATTTTAAAAGTTCAACTCACATTACTACCTAGTTGTAAAATTTGGAGTTTCCGATTTACAAATTCATTGTAAAGCTTCATTACAACAATAATGTAAAAAATAATGTTACGTCATGACAACAACGGACTATATTATAGCAGAAACTAACAAAACACCTCCATCAAAGTTGTCACTCTTCTGCTTACATAAGTGAAGGAAACATAAAACCATGCCTAATCAGTATCAATTTATAAATATCAGAACTTAATCTGATTCGATCACTTTTAATTATTACAGTCTATGTCGTGATATATCGTGGTCACTCCTTTACCGAACCATGACATAGTTAAAATTTCAAAATCAAGGCGACTCTTAATCGGAATTTGCGTTTTCTTAATGAGCTTTATTTTTGAATGATATCTCTACTAACGTAAAATTTTTATTATTTTTCACACCCCTTTATCTCCCAAAACTCCAAAAAAAAAGACTTTTTGTGGTTTTACAATTCTAGATATATTTTATTTACTAAAATACCAAATGTGTTTCCTTGTGTATTTAGGGGCCAACCTTATGAAAATTTTGAAAAATGCTGAATAACTGACAACGTGGGTAAATACTATTACTAAATTAAAAATATCAGAAACGTGGTTGTGAACACAAATGAAGACAATGAAGTTCACATAGCAAAATTGTGTAACATCGTACAATGCGAATAATTATTTATTCCGCATCGCCTATAGAAACCCAAAATTTAGAGACCCGAGAGAAACACTACTGTTTTCTTACGCAAGTTGCTGCCTAACAGCACTGTCCAGCTATAAAAACTGCGTAATCCGTAAGTCAACTTGCTACCGAAAACTTCCCGTCAGACAGCAACTTGCGTGAGAAAACTTGCCAGTATATTCTCGCCTTTATGTCCTCAATTTTCCGTCTATCTGTCCGTCGACCTCTCTATATGAAAGCTTATATGAGTTCCAGATGTGCAATAAAATCAAAAATTAACTTTGTAAACCGTTATTTATGCATACATTATGTTAGGAAAACGACAAAACTCTAATCCTCGATGCCCAAAAGTGATCCATATACATTTCGATGCCCAAAATATTTTCAATCAAAAGATATCAAATTTGTTATTTATTAATTTTATTGGGAAAAAGACCAACGTCTATTGCTCGATACGCAAAAAGTAATCAATGTGTATATTTACTAGTCTGCCCGTCTGCTTATGTGAGTGGGCCGCGCTGGCAGTATCCACGAAGCAGTGTGTAACGGTTTGGTTACATTTACAGGGTATGAAAACTCCGCTTGCATAAATAGATTCTATTCTCTATGGCAGTGGTCATTATTTTACTATAACAATTAATTTTTTGTAATGAATTAATTAAATCCACGGTTGCAGAAAGTTGGTTCTTTATTTTAATTTAATTTAATTTATGCCCTATCCCATGATCATGTTTGTAATTAATTAAACACATGGTACCTACATTTTCCCATTCAAAAGATTTACACACCTCTGGATGCTAAATAAAATTTAACCCACACAAAAGAATGGTACCAATAAATTTAAAATTCAACTTCACAGTTAAAGAGAAAAAAATCACCAAAATCTTTTGTTTGGGTCCGCTTACAAAAAATATACAATATACAAAAAAATACAAATTTGTTCAGCAATATTAAATTGACTTTGAACATAAATTTTTTGATGCAATATCCTCAAAACGTCCGACTCCTATTTTTACATAATACCAAAAATTCAAATAAGGTACATTTAGAAAGATGGCGGCAATTCAGAAAATTGGATAGTAGAACGCCTTGCACAATACAATTAAACCCTTTGTATCACCTGGTAAATTTAATTATTCGTTGAAAGTAATTGTGAGAGATTGTTTGTGATTCAAATTAGGAACACCACCTACTTCAGGTTTCTCAAAATTTAATAGTTGAAATCTTGTTTATTCACTGGAATAATTTACCAATGTTCCGCAATATGGAAATGCCAATTTTTCCTTTGTTTTAACAGTTAACAACAGCACTAATTAATCGTCATTAAACTTTTTACCGGTTGTCGTTTAAATTAGAATCTGATTATCGCCCTATATAAACAAGATAGGTGCACAAATTTGGTCAATAAACTGCTTTAATGTAATGGAATGACCTTACCGCACGGAACAATAACAGCGAAGCTTCATCTTATGGGCTTCACCGAATCATTATTGCAACTATCTGCATCTTATTTGTGTGACAGTGTACAATTCGTTGCATATAGTAGGTACACTTCGGAACCTATAACACCTACATTCGGTGTTCTGCAGGGGTCAATGTTGGGCTACTTTTTTTCTTTATGCATAAATGACATAACTTCCTATTTACCCCGCAACGCACTTCTTTTGGGTGATGATTACTGTATAGCCCAACTTCTGTATACTTTCAAGGCGACTCTAACCCCGCGAATCACCTATAACTTGCAATAAGACTCTAAAAGTGGCCACAGAAGCCTTGAAAATACTACGAAAAAACTTTAAAACAGATGTCTATAAGTCTTTTACTGCTTCCAGGAAATTCTCCTCTTCCAAAAGGCTATAGACATGGCAAAAACAAGGAAGGACCCAATGAAAATTTATAACCCCTAATACTCGGCAAAATAAATGTGAGAAAAATTCAAAAGTCTGTCATTTTTATGTGTAAAAATAATTATTGCAAGTTTAATCCCGTTTTATGGGATAAAATGACCAGTAATTTGGAAGGGGTATTTACACAACATTTTTTTAAATCGATCTATTCGTTACCGATTCTAAGTTAAAAATTAAAAACAGCGCAAAAAGGTTTAGACTAACCAATGTATTGCTCTAAATGATCTCTACTAACTTCCATACCATAATACAATCTTCATTCAAACCCAGATCTTACATTCCTCAAGACCTCAGGATCTCCGGCATTCGACGATAATTGTTTGTCCTAGTTTTACAATTTTTCGTTGGGAAATCTTGTTGAGCGTTCCAGAAAGCGTCTAAGAAACATTCAAGAGGAATATGTTTAGGTCCTCACTTCCAGGGATTTTTGCACCATGCCCGAGCTTTGTACACACTCCTTCACCTTGTCGCCGCTTTTCGACCGCTGTCACTGCACATATTTGTGTAAAGTGTTCAAACGCCTTTTAGAGTATTTCAACTGTTTGTAGGTGTGGTCCAGCGCTTTTACAAAGTTTGAGACCTTACTTTGGTGTTCTCACAGTTTCCATACCCTTTGCCTCGTCCTTTGCAAATCCTTTTCAAAGCTTTGTAGACAGGAACTGGGAAAATTAATATTGGTATCGACAGACCAATAGACATAATATTAAAAGTCTAAAAATCAATGAGTTTGATACCAATCATTGTCATTTGATGAATGATGATTGCTCCACAGATGACTTCATATTCCGATTTATATTGCTTGAAGCCCTTCAATATTTACAGGTCAATTTACCAATTTGTGAGCGTTGAAACAAATTTCTAGCATTTGAAAGTTATAATTCATAAAATTATTGTAAAATTACGGTTGACCACCTTCCTCAACGACCCCCATTAAAAAAAAATTGTTTATAATATAATGAATACTAATATGTAGTATGTTATTGCGAATAATAGCCAATGCACGTACATACTGTTCTGTAGCAACCAAAATTAAACACTAAAAAATAAATTTATGAATAAGCACAGAGTTGGTTTATTTAATTTGAAGTTGTGTTATTGTAGAATTATTTTTTCCTTTTAGAACTGTTGTAATTGCGTATTGTTTATTTCGATTTGTTTATTTAATTGTAAAACGTTAAATTGCGTGTTCAAATGGAGGGACATGTGGTGGTTTCCAATAAGAACGTTAGTCAATTAATGCACGCGTGGTGGTGCTGATAACAAGAGATGCAAGTGGTTAACGATGTGCGCATTATTTTCGGCGTTGTTTGACAGCCGGAGTTATCTAATCTAATTGTAGTTGGCGAATTATTTGTAAATACCGGCAGACGGAGATTATTCTATCATGGAAGTGGTGTTCTCTTCAATACGCGCAACAAGGTAAAATTGGGACGACTGTTCATAGTTCGCGACGGTGAGAAGTGTGCGTTGTTACCGGATTTAGGCCCTTTTAATTTGGTTGAAGACGCAGTTCGTCAGTTTAGAAATAGAGCGTGTAAAAGAAATTTAAAAGAAAAATGTATGTGGGAGACAAGGTCAAGCTTCTTGTAACTGTCAGTGAGTGTTTTGTGTGTCTTTGATACGTGTGCCTGAAGATCGCGAACCATTTATGACCAGATTATGAAGTAAAAGAGAAAAAAAACTGTAAGTAATTTTAAAATTTGTTTATTATTAATTATCGACCGTTTGCGTGGGGGTTTTAATTTTTACTTGTGTGTTTCTGAATCCATTCTTTTCATTGTTAATTAAAAAGAATTAATTGTGTGTTTATTCGAACCCATTGCGCGACTCAGATAGACTGTTCATGTCAGATTTTTCTTTCGAATCAAAATTTCAAATAATAACAATTGCAACAATTAAAATTGCCTTTATTATTAAAAAAAAGAATAAATAAAGATTTATGCAAATACAATCAAATTAAGGGCGAAGTTCCGTACTGCAGAAATGGTGGAGTCTGCCCTTCCAGTTAACCCCATTACTACATGTATTACCAAAAGGAAAAAAAACAGTTATTTGCATAAAAATCAGGAAAATGATACATTACTGGCGAGGAAATATTGAAATATCGAGGCCGAGTATTTTCATTACCGAGTCAACTAGTATCATTTTATTATGAGTTTTGTATTAAATTTTACACGAAAACGTCTTTTTAATATAAAATTTCAATTTTCATATAGAACTTTTGATTAATGTCAATCTGTCAGTGATGATAGGAGTCATTAGGCATTACCAATATGACAAATGTGGCCAGAAAAGTGACAGGGCGCAGGGTAAGTATTCAAATAACGTATTAGTGCCTAGAAACTAAAATTACCTGACATCAAGTGGGCCGGAAAATGAGGGTTTCATGACGACTTCGAGTAAATAGTATTTAACTAGACAATTAAAAAAACTGTATTGTTAGAAAAAATGTGATACTAAACGAACATGTGTGATACATCGTTCTAAAGAGAATAAAAAACTCAAAATGTCAAAATACAAAATGGCGTCCATAAGAAAAAATAAAGTTGCCATGTGTTTCTCCGTCATCTTGAAGATTGTTAAAAATGGGATACCATTTTCGAATTCTCCATATAAAGTGTCTGAGTAATGCTTTGGTTAGAAATATCAAGTACAATTAGTTGAAAAAATTAAAATCAGAAATTTTCATTTATTTGCGATATTTTCAAAACTATAAATTTCTTTTCAGATTATTCAACACGAAAATTCGCAACTTTTCTCTCATTTAGCCAACTTTCTATCTCTTAAGATGAGCGGAACTTTATAGTGGCACTTGAAAAATGGAGACCCCGTATAGTTTTTTCAACTGACACATTTTACAATACTATATTCAATTACATAATAATTGAAATCCAATATTTTTTCTCACCCTTTCTTCCTCAGTAAAAAGAGATTTTATCCACGGGTAGAACTTTACGTAGGTACAAATGTTTTATTTTCATAAGCAGGCTAACAACTAGAATTGCAACAATGCAACACTTGTAACCGTCCTTTATTATTAACTCCCAATTCTAAAGATATAAATAAGATATACTTTGCCTATGCAACTTACTTAAATAGCCCGTTAAGAATTGCCCTAGCTGCGATTTTTACCTAGAAGATAGGCATGGTAATTAACGTCTGACATTACACAAAATATTTAGTGTATTATCCATTTATAGTATTTTAAATTAAAGGCCAAGTTCTAAATTTATTCGCTAGTTTTTCGTTACGACTTTAGGTATACCAGCCTGCAGCATGAACCACGTGGGCCAGTATAGAGTATCCATGTCATAATGCATCCCCTAATATTTGCATACTGATACTACGTTAAGTTGTATAAAGATTTACTTTTAGTAGCTATTAAACGCTGATAAAAAATCACCGATCTCCTGACAACTTTAATT